CTAAGATAACACCAAAAGTTAGATGTTAAGTACCAGTACTACATTTCAAAGTTGTTGTCAAGAAGTTACTTTATCAACAATATTGTTTTTATAATTTAAATGACTTTTTAACAGGTTTTACTCAATAATTTTTCTGAATTGTTCAGAACAAAATTTAAACTCCAAACCTAACTTATTGGAATCAACTCTAGTTGGAACTAACAACAAGTTAATACTTATATCTGTTACACTAAAAGTACCTGTTAAACAGAGACATTGCAAACAAGAACTGGCTGACAGTGGATGGTGGAAGATTCTCGGTCATTATAATGTCTTTCATCACTTCTACAGATGCAGCACTTCTTAAGTGTGGAAGACCGTCAGTCATATGTTTTCTGAAGCAAATTTACCATGGCTGTATCAAATTCTACTTGACCAATTTGTTTTTAGGGAGATGCGGGAAAATGTGATTATGCACACTGGTGGCCAGCTTGTAGTGTGAGACTCACAAAGGTTTAAGACCCATAAACCACCCCTTTAAGAACCTCTTCAAGTGTTCAGACCCTAGCCTGGGAGCACTTATCGCACCTCTTCAGAACTAGGCCGAGTTTGCCTACACCCACATGGCTCACTCCTCTTTAGTTTAGTAGACCATAGTAGTTTGAGTTTTTCTCATGCTTCCAGTCTCGCAGGCTGTCTCAACCAACAGCACCCCAAGACCACCTTCACTGCCTTAACTGCCTACACGAGAGCCTACTCCACAGTGGACAGTGGAAGAACGTGTTTTACATGACTTCGGAAATGCCCGGGAAGTTAAAAGTCTGGTGATTCGTCCTTGCCCATCAAGTACAGATACGTCCGAAAATATCTGTGAGCCTACAAGTAAGCTTTGTAGCCTACAAGCAAACTTCAACCGAAGCACTTCTTTGTTGAGCTTGTCTGCCAACATCCCAGACCCATGAAAAAGCGTGGACTGGACTGCATACATTAGGAATATTCTCCAGCTGGACCTAGGACCTTACACCGAGGCCTTTCAGCAAATCAAGGGGGAAGCCGGTACAGTACAAGCGTGAACTGTAGTGATAAAAGTAGAGTCTGGTACCAGGATCCAAAGCCATGATATCGCTGCCATGGGCCTGAAATCCATGGTGCTACCGACTCACTGAACTTGCTGTCTACCAATACATGATGAATGTGTGAATAATGCAATTAAATTAGTGGTCTTTAAGTAAACCAAGAAAAACAAAATCCTTGGATAACAACCGTCTTCTATTTTTATCCCAGTGAAAGTAAGTGTTATGGTAGGTATTATTATGGTAATTATAAAATAGAAAGGACATCTTATAATACATTTTAGGATTCATTATGGCTTGCACAAAACATGCATCCCTTGGTGGTGTAACTCACACCCCCCAAAGACTAAGTATGTCAGGGTTGTGGACGTTCAACAGCCACAAAAACATGTTTGGGCTTTGAACTTTATTTTGGAAAGTATTAGTTTGAATTCTAGAGAAGTGTTCTAAAAATTAATTTATCGTTTGGCTAATATGTATCAATTAGCAGTGGGCATCTAAAGTGCATGTTTGGCTGTATAGCTGATGATATATCACTTTTAATTGATGGATTGAGAACTTTAAATGCTTGGTATACATTAAGTGGTGGCTGGTAATTAATACATGTTTCTCATTGGATTTAATGATTTGAAAAATGTAAGATTAATATTTACTTACACTAAATTTGCATTGATAAAGTATTTAAAAACGCCAACTTACTTTCCAGAAGGACACAGAGATTCAGACATATTATACAGTCTGGAGATACTCTGACGTGAAAGATATCGAGCAATATGGATGAACTTATTGAATACTTCTGAAAACTCTGGCTGCAGTTCCTCCTGTGTAAAAATATGACATTTAAGTTTTGAAAATAAATCAATGGTGTCTACCATTAATAATGAAAATTCAACCCATACCAAATGATAACATAGTTTTTACATTAGTTATGAAACCCAAATCAAACTAAAACATTGAAACTGGAACACTGATACATGCAAAGACATAATGGCAAATAAGTTTAATAAGTATAAGAGTATTGACTGTGCAGAAAAATATCTTTTATCACATACCGTATTGAGGTCACACATAGATTTTAGAAGAGATGTGGCTTCCTCAAAACTTCCATTTAACTCCCTAGAAAATCGTTGGGTGTCGTACAGTAAAGATGTTCTCTTTTCAACTGAAAATTCAACACAACCTTTAAAATTTTACATGAAAACAATACAATTCTTCTACCAAACTAAAAATGATTTTCTATTTCAACAACATCAGTTCAGTTTTAATACAGACAATGTTTCATTCCTACGCTGATCAGGGTCGATTTACCGAATAGTCATGTGCCTAGACATAGCCGGGGTCACGAATACCTCACTTTTGTCATGCAAGAGCGCAGTAAATTGAAATTCCAGGTAGAAAGAAATACAAAATTAACGTGTAATTCCCGGTTCAAACAACTCACGCATAATTCCAGGATTTCCCGGTTTTCCGGTCGGTGGACACCCTGTATATATATTGCAAAAGAGCGCTACTTTGGTTTTGCCTAGGGCGCTGACAGGGTCAAAACCGGGCCTGACGCTCATGACACACAAATCCACGATCATTTCAAAGTCAGTGAGGTGATTGAAACAATTGCATTAATGAATGACAACACCAACAGAATTGTGGAGAAGGGCAGCTTAGAATGGACTAAAAATAAATACAGACAAAACCAAACCAATCGTCATGTTTGTTGTATAAAATGAACCATGTATTGTTCAATTTATATTGGTTTTTACGAGGTTAACTGTAAGAAGGGATCATGAGATCCTAATGTTCGCCCCAATAAAGAATAAGCTAGAATAAGTTTTGCCCTATGCAAAGTAGAAATGTTAAAAAAAACACATAATGACAAAGACACAGAAAAAGTATTAATTCCAGTGCCATTTTATCATCTCAACTTCCCTCAGAGACACTAAAGGATGTTTATTACAGCGCTTATTCACAAAGTCTTAATTAAATACGAAACAACCATTGATCATTTATTTTAAACACTTAGAATCTAAATATAAAAATCTAGCAGCATTAAAATAATCAATTGTTTCTGTAAAAAATAACTAAATATTAAAATATTAATTGTTGCCTGGTTAAATATGTGAATGGATAGTTCCAGTGTCAAAGATGCCTTAATTTTACTCAGTATTTTTAAGTGTGTTACCTTTAATATCATTCAATGACTTTCTTTTATAGTAGTCCTCTTCTTCTAGAAGAGTGAGTCTAGTGGTGGCCGTTGTTGATGCTCCGAGTGATTGATTGTAGAATGGCAGGAAGGAGTGTGACTCTTTGCACATGACAGATATCACTATGTTGTGGTCCACATGTTGCTCACACGTCAAGTTGGACACCATTGGGCTCCATTTATGGTATTTCTGAGCAATGTAGAAACTATTCATGGTTCAATTTGGACTAACGTCAAACAGAAAATAACTCCTGGACTACTGAAACCTACAGGCAACCCTTGCTAAATGAGGTGGATGCAATCCGAGCTCTGACAATGTGCCGAGCAAAGCAAAACCATAAAATGTCAGTGGAAATAGAGTTTGCAGCCCCTAATGGCAAAAACAGACCTTTTATTTGTGTCATTTTGATACTGTAAGAAATAGATCAATTTTAAGCTAAGTTAATTTACTGTACTTACGTTACATGAAAAAACTATGAAATCATGAATCATGTATATACAGGACTGTGCAAACCACGATAGTGCATGGTGCAAGATGAGGATATTTTAGAGTTAAAAACAGATGGACATTTTGCATAAAATTTGAGGCTAAAACTAGGTTGTAACAGCTAATTAATTTTAACTTGGTCAATATTAATTTTTTACTGATTTTTTTATTGGTTGTTGAATATCTTTGTTCAGTTTTAAGTTACAGTAAGCTAAGTAAGCTAAGTTGTACGTACCGTTTCAAATACATAGGTATTGGTTGGTATGATAGAAATCAACTGATGCCTTTTCTCACAAGTTGAAATATGTTTTTGCTTGCTGATGATCAAAGTAGTTCCATTTATAGCTTCAAGTTTGTAATCAGTGAGGCACTCTCCATTTACATCACTCTAAATAAATATACAAAATTAAAATAATTTGTTTGTGAATACATTTTCAAAATGTCCATATTGCTATAACATTTTGTACAGTGACCATATGATAGTTGATGGTAATGATTATATACTGCAGTCAATATTCCAATTATTGCATACAAATTCACTATTTAAAGGATAATACACACTTTTAAGAGGTACATGGAATGTTTAAACTCCTCTTGATACTAAAATGGTAATAGCAACTTTCTCTTGTAAAGATTTCTAATATCTCATAAAATACTCTTGCAAAATAATTTAGTTTACCTCATCACTAACTAAATTTTGCTATAACTGATAATATACATATGGATTTATTTCCCATGAAAATCAACTCAAGTATTGATGAGTGTCAAAGGAATTGGCTGATGAACCAAATTCCCATTAACTTACTGCATTGCACTTCAACCCAAGTTTCACATAAATATTATTAATTATAATACCTTATTTTGGGGGGTTTCCCTGTTTCCCAAATATTATACTCTTGTCTGTATCATATTCAAGAATAAGATTGCACTATATGAGAGGTAAATTATTTAGGTGTTTATAAAATATTAAGTCTTAATCAAGCAGGTATAATTTTCCCTGGTAAATAAAACACTATTTGTGAATATATTGAATATATATATATATAGCATGATAAAAATGTTAACAATGGATCTTTGATCTGATTTTATAGTTACGGTATAAATTATGAAAACAAGTACAACGAATTTGATTTTTAACAAGTACTTGAACTCATTCTACCTCTACAGTATGACGATTCAAATCCAGCCTTTCCATTGAGTTCTGTAATGTAGAAAGTATTCCTTTCTTGAAATTAAGCTCCCAAACAGGTTCTTCTTTTTCTGGGCATATCTCTTGAAAAACACCGTCCTCATAGTAAAACCTATAAAAATATTTTGAAATTGTGAGTAAAATCCATTTTAAATAAAAATATAATACAACAATAATGTAACAGCTGTAAAAGACCGTAAGATGCTGACTAACTAAGTAACATGTTGATTGACATTCCACATATAAATGGAAAAACTTCTAATAAAATAAAACAGCATACATAAAACATGCATAATTTCAAATCTATTATATATAAGGAGAGTGTGTGTGGGTATGTACCACGTTTTCTCCATGACCACTCACGGCCACTAGCTCATGGTTGTACTAGTACTACTGGGATGCACTCCAAAGTAAGACTATTTCCAATTTGATAATTAACTTGAGCTCTACCCCACGGGCTTTCAAAGATCTGAGGTGAGGTTTTTCAAACTAAACATTGATTGGATTTCATGATAACCATGACGATGCTCACAATGTTTACATTCCTGTTCACAAACTGACTAGTGCATTTATTTCACAATTCCACAGAAATGTTTTGTACATTAAAATTATGTGATGGAGTCATTGACTTTGGAAATAAGTAAGATACCATGCTGTATCAACCAAAGCTTTGCAACTGAGTTTTCAAAGTTAAGCTCATTACATTATTTTTTTAAACTTCTTGATCAGCATTGTACGTGTTATTAAATTTATGGAAAGTAAATAAAAGAAACGTCTTATAACACTTAAAACATATATTTGCCGAGGAATCCCCATAGTAGGCTAACAACACTTTACAAACGAATGGTTAGAGCTTCAAGTGTTTTGTTACTATTCAAATAAAAATACTATGAACATCTGTATTGATTTCAGGAAAATGAATACAGTATGTAAATTCTGAAAGGCATGTACATTTTTATTTTAAGATTAAAATGCAGGTAGGTGCTGTATGAAAGGGTAATCAAATTAATTATACTACTATGAACTAAGCGATACTAGACACTTTGATGCAATTGTTGTTGTTGGTATATTCTCTTTCTGCATTCCTGTGGTCACCTTTCTCTTCTAATTATACTTTTTAAAGTTTTCTTGACTTAGACAATGGTGTAATTTAAGAGGATTTATACTGAAAAGTGTATAGATTGTCTTTAACAAAAATTGTTTGTTGCTAACCTTAAACCATTTTCGTGGAGAGATTTAAAATCATTTTGGCTAGTGTCTTCATCATCCTCATATTCTTCCCCTTCCTTCTTTCTCTTCGTAATATCATGGTTGTCTTCAATTGTTAACCTAGTTATCTGAAAAAAATAAAAATTTTAAAACAATTAGTCACCAATGTTAAATTCTATAGCAGTATAAAGTGTAATCGTATAAATTTAATTTAGTTCATTGAAGGGTAAATGGCAAATCTATAGAACGACAATTTTTCTAATTTATGACTTCAGCATACAAATCATAAAACCATCAAAAAAATTAGTTTTATAAACGGAAAAATAATTGAAAATTATAATATAAATTAACTAAGTACCTTGACCCATCAGTCAACACTCCATTTAAAAAGGATTTTTGTAATTTGTTAATTTTGAGTACTTTTGGGTTTAAGAATGTCAGTGGTGTTGTCTTGGTGGATATTAAGTTCATAGTTTATTAATTTGGACACAGGTCTTTTGAAAAGTGAAAAAATAATGATCACAATGTAGACCCCTAGGAATTCCACTGCATGAACTTACTTACCAGTTAAACAAGGGATAGTTATTTGATTCTTTCCAATAGTAAGCATTTGGAATACAGTAAATAAATAATGAATTAAAAATGACTAAGCACATAAAATAAAGTTACAGTACTTTACCTGCAGGTGGCCATGACAAGCGGTCTCAAATTCGAGTTCAATTTGGGCTTTAATTACTAATGTTGAGGCATTTTCTTTTTCCACATCAAAGGCGGTGCTAACATGAGATTCATATTCATATAGGTATTTCAAGTCTGGAGAGAACTTGAAATTTTTTGGAGCTGAAAATTTTTAACATTATAAACACTTGGTCAGAAGTTTTCAACATATAATTGCTGGTGTTAAATGTGTTTAATAGTTAAAATACTTACACCAAATAGTAAATTAGGAGCTAACAAAGCTAATTACAATACATTTGTGAAAATAAGTCTAAAATGAGTCTTATTAAAAAGCAGATTTTTTTTTTATGGAGAGGAGGGAAAATGCTTTTACACACACAGGTAGCCAGCCTGTAGTGTGAGACTCCAAAAAAAAAAATTAAAAGCTGATTACGTTTCATTAAATTATAAGAAAAGTAATGTTATGGTTTTTTTAAATATTATTATGCTTGCAAATCTAATTTACAACACTTTTAAGGATAAAGAATAAAAGAATCAAAATTGATTGGCCAGAATGCTTTTAAAAGTAGTTCAATTTAAAATTAAATTAAGAATTCAGTATTACAATACACAGTAAAATACAGGAAAACAGTATCCATAGTCAGCATTGACTATAGTCTCAACAAAAAGTGGATTCTAAACCAATAACAACACTTCACTTGATATTTTAAGATCATAACACTGAAAAAAAATTATAGTTCTAGCCCGGAACTATTATTACACATTACTTCAGGCTATATCTAGAGGATTTCTGCATCATCACTTAAATCAAATCCACTGGTGATTGGCAGGATTTGAGCCCGTGATCTCAAGGACCGAAGTCTACCACTACCACTAGACCCGCTCAGTCCCCGAACACTGGATATTGGAAGCTAAGGGATGGTACAATAGCACGAAAAATGAAAATGACTCGCATAACATTTAAAATGAGTAAAAGATATTTAGCTAAATACTTCAAATATTGTGAGTCTTGTTAGAAAACATTCCTTGATTTAAGCAATATAAAATATTTTTCAAAGGCTTTATATAGAAATTACAAAATGCCTTGAATGAATAGAATACTTAAAATAGTAATGGTGGAAACAGATACTTACGATCACACAAAGGTTTTCCACATATATTCTGATCCCTCAAATGACCTGTAAAAATTAAATAATGAATTTTATACTCCATCACCATTATTTATGTATCAATATGTCTGTATGGAATAATTTTATTTCACAAGGCTTACTGCAAGAAAAAGGTTTGTAGATGTATAAGTATTCTTTAACTAAATAATCATAAAGCGATATTTTGTAAGTATGTTTACAGTGGTGTGACAGATTTTGACTAGCACCCCAATAAAATTGTTCTTTTCTAATTCCTCAATTCAGGCTCGATTAAGTAACTAACTCCTAGAACCAAGTACATAGAATTCATTTGAAGAAAATGTACAGCCTTACTTATATACTGTTAAATGTTCAACAGAACAATAGAACTGTTATCCAACCTGGAGATAGCTGACTCCTCAAAATCCCTGAATGTTTCTAATTGTCCTTTGGGCTTCGGCAGGATTTACTTGCTTTCTGTGTCTTAGTCCACAAATATCATTCAACTCTAGAGACAGATATTTCTCCCACATGGACCTGTCTAGTTTTTATGGTATAGTTACAGCTGAATGTCCAGATCTCTGTGTTGTTTTTCTTTTGTCCTTCAGCAACTTTGGCTGGGTTTGTGTATCAATTTCATGTTTCAAGCACTTTTACTTTCTTACCTGAGGACGGGATTATATAAAATCCCAAAACATTGTGAAAACGATTTTTTAAAATAAATGGTGTTGGAAAATGTCCCCAATAACTCCTTAAATAACCCAGGTCATTTAATCATAGTAAATATCAAATGATTTCAAAGATTCAAACTTGGGCTTTCAGGACCGAAGTCCCACACCGATCTCTACGCCAGCCGTGCCTGCTTTAGCAACAAGCAGTAGTGAAGAGGTTTTACAAGAGGAAGATTAGTACGTTAAACTATTTAGTAAACTGTTACTGTCTGATCTGGAAAGTAAACTAGCTTGAACATAGGTGATAAGGATCTACCTCTAGGATACTTACTGGCCTGTACTGAAGAGACACAATACAATGTCAGCGCTAGAGCTGCCAGTAGTCGACTGGCCAACTCCATCACTCAACTGAAACATACAAAACTGAAAATAAAAGAACACTACAGGCCCCTAAACAAGGAACACTAGGTTAGTGCCAGTTGGTATTGAAATCGCAGAGTAGCAGACCCAATACTCTACTTATATGATATTTTACAGCATGGAGAACATACAAGAAGTCAACTCTTTCAATCATGGCCGGTTAGAGGGTAAGGCAAGGGGGGTTAGACATTGATATTCGCCGATGAATGGTCAACTAGTGCATGTTTGTTTTAGCTGAGTGTTTATGTTAATTCATATAATTTTTTTCATTTCAGTTTACTATGCATTGATATGAAATGACCTTATGAAATAGTATATTACTTTACTAAGAGAGTTATAAATTTGATGGGATAGTAATTTTGGCCTCTGGGGACATAAGTTTGTAAAGTTAAAATGCTTAACATCCACTTGTTAAGATCATATCAATATTTTTTAATGATTTACAAAATCAACTGGTTTCATGTCAACACTATCCAATAATTTTTTTAAATAAAAAATTTTCGGTTATTTATTCAACCATAAAATACTCTGCCATAATTTAAATTAAAAATAAGTATCATAAGAACAAAACAGTTTGAATCTACAATAAACAAGTTTAATTATGGTTACTGTACTGTGATTTTCACAGGAAATTCTTTGCTGATAAGTAAATAACATTTATGTAACAATATAAATCCCTTAATAATGTAAAAATAAGCAGTATTAAATCTCAACTAAAGAGTTCAATACCACAATGATATCTGATGAATCACAACAATCACAATAATAGCCCTTATTGTGGCAATTCCATTTTTTCTTTAAGAAAATGCATACCTCTATGGCAATGTTCTGCATTGTTTTTCCTCTTTTACTACTTTAAGATTCCCCAGTATTCCTGTTGAGGTTTGTAACATTGACATAAAATGAGGTTACTAATTAACCTGTCGTCAATCAGTCATATATTGTCATGGATGACTATAGTTTCAGGGTTAAAACCCCATTTTCAAATCTTCTCTTCAGTCGTCATATGTCAAACATATTCTCTTGCACAAGAAGATTTGAAAATGGGGTTTTAACCCTGAAACTAAGTCATCCACGACAATATAGGACTGATTGACGACAGGTTAGTAACCTCATTTTATGTCAATAATTCAATCCTGGAGGCAAATTATGTATAACATTTGTAACATTCTTGATTTTATTGATATACGTTTCCCACTACAAACAGGTTGGCATGTGTACAAATTTGAGCTTGGCTACAAGCAGAATGATTGCATGTTGAAAGCATGAACCCATGGTCAGCCATAAGTCTTACAGCTGCCAACTTACAAATTGTCTTCATACAAATACTGTTACTTCAGACATGACAGATATCTCGGGGCAAAAAACAAGTTTGTCATATTTTTATATTATTTTGTTTCTATTTGGGTTCTGTTACAAGTTTTGATTGGTAAAAAACTATCTTAGTTCTTAAATAGGTTGAATAAGTATTGCTCAACTAATACTTTTAAAAAATCTAGAGAAAATCTAGTTGTTTAGTCTTTATTCTTCACAATAAACAAACAAAAACTTGTCACAGTTCCCAACTTTTGCATAAATTGAAAAATGTAAATAAACTTTTTTAAGATACCTAGCTAACAAGCTTAAGTTACATACTGTTTACTGGAAGTAGACCCGGTTGACATGTGACATTAGGAATTACGAGACTGGGACGGGAGGGATGTGTACAAACATACAGGACACACACAATTGACTGCTATCACCTATCACCGGCCCCTCCATTACAAATCAACTCAAACATTGCCAGATTGAGTCTATTCTATGACATCAATATATATATTTTTCAAAAGATATTATATCAATATCTTAAAATTTTGGAGGGAAAAAATAATTCAATTTTTAAATTTAACATCTTATTTTTACACCCCGATTTACTAATCATTAGTTTTCAGAAAATTTAAAGTGATAAAGTCTACATGAAAAATTGATCAAAACTGATAAACAGTAAATTTGTTTGTGTCTAAGTCATATTTTTAATCAAACCATTCTCTCAAGACAACAACTAAACTAACAGAATGATAAACAAAATAAAGTAAGTGATTTGTGAAATGGCGCATTGAGAATTGGATCAATCAAATAAGTCTGAAAACACAAGGCTATTTATTATGTAATATCAGAGATCCCTAATTCCGAATCAGTTGGCGTATGTGAGAAGTAGCATTAATGAAAAAAAGTAAATATATCATAATCAACAGAAAGTAAAAATTAACCTTGCAGAGATGTTAAATTGAATGCCATTTTAACTTGTTAGTTGTTCTCATCACTCTTTCTTTCAAAAACTGGAAATTCAACACTCCAAATGTAAAATTTCAATATCCCTGACAATTTTTAAGCATGTTTCGTGTTAAGGGACAATTAAACCAAAATGTAATTCATGTCGTTCATGTCGGTGACATAGATTTATAGCCAATATATATATATATGAACAAATAATAAAATGTATTGCTTAATAAGAACAGATACTATAAAGGAGAATGTTTTTTGCTAATGAATGAAAGGTCTATCTTCAAATGTGTGCCATTATGTATGAAATGTAAAAGATTGATTTAAATATTAAAAAGATTAATTAAGTTTTAATTGATGCAAACCTTTTTAGCTAGATGTACTTAACTTTTCATAGTGAATATTACTAACTGTATGGTATCAGTTACTAACTATAAGTAATCTAAAATATCTGTGAAAAGTTGCTTTTGTCATAACTCTTTGAAACCCGATTCAAACATATATATGTATATATCATAAACAAATAACAAATTAAAAACATTGGTCCTGTTGTTACAAAGCCAAACCTACCTCTCTGATCCCAATTAGCTCTGCTTCGTCTATTCGTCTGGATGGTGGGGAGATCTAACCAACAACTTCACTATAAAAGCTAGTAATATTCGTAAACGGCAATATCCTTCAATATATAAGACTGAGTCACTAAAATGATCCAGACCTTCCACCACTTAATTTAAATTAAATATTTTGTCAATGGCAATTTTAAGTTCCTGATTTTAACTAGGTGCCGAAAGTAAAAAGTAAATTCACAACTGTAGGTTGTAGCATCATTTTGCTTATAATCAAACATATAAATGAGTATAGCCCTTTTTCTTTTAGTTGTATATCTTTAGTTAAAAATGTGAAGAAAACTTTCCTTGTGGTACAATTATTGCATCATTCAATTAATAGAATACCAAAAGAACATTATTATTTTAAGATATTATGTTAAACTACGTTTTTCTAAACAGGCTTTCAATGACTGAAGAATGCCAACATTCACTTTTTATAACTGTATATAAAATGTAAAGATTGTTTATTATCGAGTCATGTAATAGTCTTAACCAGACAATAATAGTAGATTAAGATTATTGTAATAATTCAAGCACTTACCATAAAAGAGAAAAGTAACACAATAACTGACTAGGAATGGACCAGCAGCAGCACTATAGTGAGGTGGCCATTCAAAGATCAAAGGGCAAGCAAACGTAGCTGACCATTATCTTGTATTTTCTTCTGATTCTACGACTATTTTGAGTAAGCAGTTGGATTATCAAACTATGATAAGCAAGTAAAAATGGGTTATAACTGTAAATATGTGTCTTCTAGCACCACTCCAATAGTGTTCTTGCACAACAATAATTTATCAATTTTAAATGTAGCGTTATTGCTTCCTTAATAACTAATCGTTGAAAAAAATCATGTAGCTATGAGGAGTCGGCATGACCCCTTAAATAAAGGATTTGCTATTAAAAAAAAAACACAATATTAGATAACTCTTAAGTTGGCAAGTAAAAGTAGACAGTTCTGTTTAACTCACAGGGGAACCCAACCCAACGTTAACAAAAGTCTGGGCTAAATCTTAATAAAATAAAAATTAAACTTGCTTGTAGATTAAAGTATATATCTGTTATGTCACTGTACCATTGTTAATGTAAACAGTTACGTAATAAAAAAAATTCTGACATACTGTATAGATTTTATTACTAAACCTTTTTTCAAGAATGTATCAAAACATTGACAGATCTAGAAATGAATTATAGATCAAGTAGTCCAACTACTTTAATTAAAATAAATATTATATACAAATTTATATTTTAATCATTATTTTAATATAAACTCCATAGCCAGGTTAATGTCATTATTCCATAATTATAATGTACTAGTTTTGTTTGAGTTATATTATTGTATGACGCCATTGTAATTTCTTGTCGAAACTACAAACAAAGAATATTTTGATTTGATTTGATACTCCAGAGCCAAATACTGATCACATGAGTAGACAGCTAACACGTCTAAAGTTGCTCCATCAAAACAACCTACCTATCGTTTCAAAAATTAAGAATAAAAGCTTTTTCAAATGGCATAAACCATTTCAATGTGAGAATTAAATGCTGGAAATACATGCAGTACTGACGAGTGATCGTGTATCAATTACTTTAAGGCAATTGGTTTTGAACCTGAAGATTTCTTTTTAACATGACCATACGGCAGCACTACAGGTATTTTAACCTTTTACTTGTATAGAATGACCAGAAAAAAAAAAATGTTTTAAAAATAAGCATTTGGTTTTTGTGAAAATTTTTAACTTTTATTACATTAAAATATTTTTTAAACCATTTTTTAAATAACCAGGTAATGTCCACTTTCTTATGCAGTATTTTCCATTACTACATCCCAGCAGTTCATAGCACTATTAATTGTTGCAACCCTCCAACAAGATCATATCCTTTTTTAAGATCAATAAGAGTTCGGGGATTGTTAACTCACCTGAGAATTACATCCAGGATGGGAGCGACATCATGGCGTCTGGCGTCTGACTTGAAAGTGACATAGAAAAAGTCGCTGCGCTCCTGTGATAGACTTGCGATTTTGCACATTCGCATCATTGGCAAACATACGGGGCTGTGCTGTCAAATGCTCCATGGCTTCTAAAATGGCATTATATACAAAAATAAGAAAAATACAAAGTTATTTTAACAGATGTTCACTATTCATATCTTTTAAATAGTAAAAATACCTAAAATAACTTTTTTTTATTTAGTATTGTGAATTTTTCAACTAACTTCAATATCTAGGTACAGTACATATACCTTAATATTTTATATTATTAGTCCGTCCCACAACGTATTTAATAAAACATGTAATGCATTCTATAGTGAAAAAAAATTTGATCATGGAAGTTGAATTGACACATAATTTGCGGTAATCTACCAATGCAGTGACTTGAGATAAACTACCACTTCAGCGCTTTGAGGTAAACCGCCACTTCAGTGTTTTTAGGTAAACCCCACTTCAGTGTTTTGAGGTAAACCCCCACTTCAGTGTTTTTAGGTAAACCCCACTTCAGTGTTTTGAGGTAAACCCCCACTTCAGTGTTTTGAGGTAAACCGCCACTTCAGTGTTTTGAGATAAACCCCCACTTCAGTGTTTTGAAGTAAACCCCCACTTCAGTGTTATGAGGTAAACCCCTACTTCAGTGTTTTGAAGTAAACCCCCACTTCAGTGTTTTGAGGTAAACCCCCACTTCAGTGTTTTGAAGTAAACCCCCACTTCAGTGTTTTGAGGTAAACCGCCACTTCAGTGTTTTGAGGTAAACCCCCACTTCAGTGTTTTGAGGTAAACCGCCACTTCAGTGTTTTGAAGGCTTGTGAATCCAGCTAGATGAGGAGGAATAACGGGTTGCCGGGATTTTACCCCAAGAGCAGATGCTAATAGCACTATGACGAAATAACCTGAGTGCTCTTAAGTTTGTTCATGGGCAGAATTTACCCCATTGATTTTGGAGTCTAATGAAAATAGACAGAGCGTGATAATTTAGATTAGCGCAAATTTCACCACCCTTCCCATTTGACTATGGTTTCAAAAAGCTAAAGATGTATAGCCAAGATTTTCCCCCCTGACCAGAAGAGTTTTGTGAGAATCGTTAATTTTGTACAAAATGTGCTTTTTTTAGAGAAAGACCTTCAAACTGTTAAATATTATTTACCGCTGTTTATATTAATGTCAAATCCTCATCTTTTTTAACAAATTTTCTATATGGGGAATAAGATTACCTTAGGTCTCATGGTAAGGCCTAGACCTGGGGTTGATTTAGGCCTATTTTTGTTTTGTTTTGAGGTCACCATAGAGGCTAAACACACCCTCCATTCAAATTCATATAATATAACCACTAGAATTATGTTACACCTTAAAAAATATGAATTAATTAAATCTCATTTCAAGAATCTATATATTTTAACAGTTTTTTCAGCTTATATTTTTAACTAGCATGTATAGTACAAAAGAGAGCATAAAATATGAGCCAATTGTGCCACATAACTTAGTTATAATACTAGACATAAAAAGGATATTGTAAGTTGTAACATAAACCTAGAAGTTGGAATTCTCCAAAAAGAAACCAACTTTTGCTAGATCATTACTTCTCAGGAAATTGCCTACCTCAAAAAAGGAGGAATCACATATTAAATCATTTAAAGCTAAATAAAAAAATATGTTTAAATGAAAGGTGCATTATTCATTAATACTTAAGTAGGTCTACTTAAAATGTATATACCTATGCTAGTGTACTGCTGTATTTTTTCAGACACTATTTTGTACCAATGTATGTAAGTAAAATAAAGATGTTTTGAATTTGAATATGATATACTCAAATTATAATATATTATAAATATAATGTATACAAATATAATAGGCCCTATGGTACTCAAATATAAGTATATATATGTGTGTGTGTGTGAGTATGTGTACTTTAGAACGATTACCCAAGCAAAAATGATTCGATTTTGTTGAAATTTTGTACAAACGTGTAAATATACGTTTATTTGAACGAATTCGCAAACCACCTGATGATCTGACAAGGTTGTAATGGGGTAAAAAAAATTATTTTTCTCATTTATGGCCTTAAAAAATCAAATTTCACAATTGCTTTCCAAACCATTCTGTAGGGCTTAAAAAAACGAAATAGGTACTTAAGTGTATTGAAGTGTTGTCTTATGCCTACGGTAACGGTCAGGGAGAAAATTTAAAAAATGCATAAATTTAAAATCCCTATATTATTCTTAGAGAATAAATAAACTGTTGTAGCTACTTTGTTTGTGGATATATTTTAATAAAAATTGGCAATTTTGATTGTGTAATCAAAGCTAATCAAAGCTATCAAATCAAATCAAATCAATTTATTCATCACAAAAATTCACAATACAGAGGCTGAATATCATAGCAATGAATATGTGACATGTCAGTACGAATCATGCATTATAAATAGTTTACACATAATATTTTAAGATGTCAACCTTCCCTGTAACGGCAATCCTAAGTACTCATTAAAATTTGTGTTGTTTTTAAAATATAGTAAATAAATGTACAAGAATTGTATTTTATTTTCATATTTTAAGGATTGCAATTTTATTTTGGTGTAGTCTTGAGCTACTGTACCTAAAATTATAAATAAATAAGTGTTATTTTACCATAATTTTGTCTTGTGACTCCTATTCCTCCTCTATGGGTGGATGAAGAATGTTTGTCGCCACAACCTCAATATGAGTGAAAATTGATGTTCTAGACAAGGAGCTGAAGACAGACGACATAGTTACCGGTACCGAAACAATCGTCATCCACTCTCAAGTTAGAGGATGTTTAAGTTAAGAGTCACAAGACTAAGGTTAATTCAACTCTTTTTTTAATTTTAAGGAAATATTTTAGTTGAAATCCAGCCAGGTAAATGGAAAATCCAAAATTATAAAAAATACCAAACAAATAATGCTGTCAGCACAAAGTCCATCTATTTTATTAACTTCAAATTATTCATCATTTGTGAAAATGGTAAAATAACATAATGAAGACTTACATGTTTATTTAGAGTAACTGTTCATGTACAGTTCAGCCAAAACTTCTGTGCGCGTGGATGGGTCGCTACTAGCCGAACTAAAACATACGGGTACCAGTTATTGGCAGTGCTAGAGGTCAGGGTGAGTGAGTAGCAAGACACAAATGTTTTCACAAAAGTACCCCCGCCAATCCCCTCGCCTGGACCCAACCAGATCTGGTCGCGCGCACAGACACTTGGCCAAACTGTGCATGCTGGGGGGAGGACATAACTTAATTCCTAGAGTCACATTCATGATTGATATGGGGATGATGATATTCTGTAGCGATCTGAGTTTCAACAAGGATATCAACTCCGTGGTTAGCAAGGCGAATAACTCAACTGCATTGAAAGCTCTTATTGTGCAATGGTGAGACAGTGTTTGTCCGGTGTATGCTTCCCCGATCTGGTCTCCATATACAGTGGATGGACGCAGTCGTCTAAAAGCGATCCAAAGAATATTTGAGGCTGGTGGAAGTGCATCAGGGATACCGCTATCGCCAGGTACCAACAGATATTCTGGCTGAAAAGCTGGAAATCAAGCCATTGTACATTTGCGCATTGTTGCCGATGTTGGTTTCTTATACATGGTCCTGAGGGTTCATATTTATGCAGCTCAGAGATGCTATCAGAAATAGACATTAGAATCCCTACCATTACAAGATCCAGGGACCTATTCGTCCATCGTTTCAGAGACACCGCATATAAAACTTTCACAGTCCTCTGGCGAAGAATTCTCAGGCTGGGCAACAGAGTTACTCGTGATCTTGATATCTTTACCCACAGCTACCCCTCTATAAGGAGGACAACCGAATCAACCCTGGTGAGATGTTCGACTAGCTTAGAGGCCTTCTATTGTTATAAATTTATTTATTGTTATATTTAAGTTATTTTATTGTTATATTTTTATTATTTGTTAACTTTATTCATTGTTATATTATTTATTGTTATTCTATTGAGTATCGAGTTTATAGTTTTTTGTTTTGTCGCAACCAAATTCATCTATGTAGGCCTATTCTTCAAGATGTTAGCCTGTATAAATAAATAAAACTTGAATAAGTAAATATATCACAAGATTAACCATACCATTAAATTACAGTTTCGTGATGTTACAGAGTACATTCCACTTTTAAAGTCATCTCATCGACTATGGAAATAAGTTTAAACCTGTTACATTCTTGCATGTTGGATTAGTTCACAGAATAAGTTACCTACATAAATGTTTTTGAGGTTACAAAAAATTAAAGTAGGCTATCTTAATGATAAAATGTTTATTATTCAAGCAAAACTGAAAGAAGTTTAACGATTAACACAGCAGTCGTATTAAAATGGATTTAGTGATTAATCTATACCGGTACTATTATAAAAATTAGGTGGTGCCTAGTCTGTCTGTTTGGGCGGCTTTCACGACCAAGATGGCTGTTATCTGGGAATGTCCAATTGTCCATCGACCTGGCCTATTCTCCTATTCACTTCCCCGACCCCGAGTTTCCATAGGTCTACGCCTCGTGGACGTCCATAGTTCTGTCATAGATAAAACATACTCCCATGTTTTATCTATGGTTCTGATGTTCTGAGCCTGAGGTGAACGGGTGAAGTAAGGTTTTCACAATTATTCATTGGTATGGCAGTATGAGAAAACTCACAATGTTTACCTTTGTGTTTGTGTTGACTTCAACGTAAACTAGCAGACAGCAGAGCAGAACTGTCAGATTCAGATTCTTGTTTGAAAATTTAAGACAGATGATCCAAAGAAATTAATCCCATTTAGCATAATTGCCTATGTGGTAGGTTTGATTTGTTTGTTCTAGACTGTATCATTGATTATGGAGCTAAGTAAGATTACACAACCTTTGTTAGGTACATCAACCAATATAGGCTTTGTCCCCGAATTTTCAAAGTGTTGAGGATAAGACAATAGGCATAGTTTTATTGGTATTTTTTATGAAACCGTAGGAAAACCATAAGTTTGGAACTATTTTGATATTTTCATTTTGTTTAAAGGAATTTAATTTGTTAACAAAATTGAATTATAGTTACTTTTTATAGGACTTTTTCTTAAAACGCCCATTATGTACAAACTTAATCCCACCAAACTCTATATCTGGTCAGAGGGTAAATTTCCGGGGGTAAAATTCCGGAGGTAAAATCTGTAGATTAAATCCGGTACCTTTTGAGGTGAACTCATGATGGGGGTAAAATTCCGGCTCGTACAATATACTATAGGTTTCATAATTTGATTTGTTATGATTCAATTCACAACCGTGGAAATATACATCTAATTCCAACTCTAATTTAATCAACTCTTGTTGTGCATCACAAAAGTGCACGTGTGGAATTTTAGCCCATGGCTATGACGTCAGAATTGCTCTGGGGGTAAAATTTCATGCGATAACATTCCAACCGCCCTGTGCCGACAACTAACACAATAAAACATTCACCATACCAAAAAAATAACACGTCAATTAAACAATACATATCAATTGTTATTGATATGTATTGTTTAATTGACGTGTTATTTTTCACCCTCCGAAAGAAAATTGTATTCGTATCGTATTCTCGCAATTGTGTGATAATTATTCCAAAACATTGTAATCATGGATATAACAGAAATTGTATGGTTCATAATCATAATCAAATGACGTCACTGACCCAAATGTCAATATACATATTAGGGCTACATAGGCTATTATTATAACATATCGAAATTATCACATGGGCTTCTGACTGTGCTGATGAGAGTTCATCACTGGCTGCTTGGTTATCTTGATACTATTAAAAAAATAGAAGAAAAAAATGTACACTTCTTAGTACATGAAAATGTATACAGTACTATTTATACAATTTATTTATACATTTATACAATATACAGTACTATTCCAATACCTGAAAATTGAGTTTTCCGTCTGTAAATAAATAAATACCCGTAAATCTGGTTTAGCAGTTTTTTTAAAGGGTCCATATAGATATTAATACACCCCTTTTTATACTTTTGGACCAGTGACGTCATTAGTAAATTTCGTGATTGTAATACACATCGCTTGACATAACCATAGATGAAACAATTGAGGAGTATGTTTTATCATTGACTTTATATAGCTACACTGTAGGTATATAATATATACCTACAGTGTAGGTATATAATATATACCTACAGTGTAGGTATATATAGTCATAGTATACTGGGTGTTTTTTTAACTTGCATCTTTATTTATGTTAAAACCTCAATAGATAGAAATATGCAGTTTGCGGGAATCATCTATTGACGTAGGGGCCGAATTGTTTTGAGTTCAACATTACATTCACATCCCCCCCTTTCCCCCCTGCCCCAACTTATTTTTTTTAAATAGCAAGGTACCCTTTGTGACATATCAAATGAAAGAGCATGTAAGAAGAAAAAATGTTTGGTTAAAAAAATTGAAAATTGGCTCATAAATTTGTGAGATATTTCACCCCCTTTCTCTCCCTACCTTAACTTAAAATTTTGGAATTGCGAGATATCCCTTATGACATATCAAATGAAAGAGCACGAAAAAAGAAAATGTTTAGATGTCACCAAAACATTTTATTAGGGCGAAATATCTCACACATTTATGAGCCAATTTTCAATTTTTTTCACCACACATTTTTTTTCATGCTCTTTCATTTGATATGTCACAAGGGGTACCTTGCTATTTAAAAAAATTAAGTTTTTTAAAAATTAAGCAGGGGGAAAGGGGGGGGAATGTGAATGTAACGTTGAATTCAAAACAATTGGGCCCCCGACGTCAATACGGTAGATGATTCGAGCAAACTGCATATTTCTATCTATTGCGGTTTATACATAAATAAAGATGCAAGTAAAAAAAAACACCCTGTATAGTAAGTATATGTCATAGATAAAACCATTGACTATATTGACAATGGTTTTATCATAGATAAAACATACTCCTCATGTTTTATCTATGGTTTTATCTATGACATAACCAACCGGCATAACGTCAAATTGGAATTGGAGTCGGAGCTCAGAATGGATCAGGTTCAATTGGATCTGATTATATTGGATCGAATTCTTGAATTGGATTGGATTGAAAAATGTAACTTCTTCTACTTCTTACTGTAAGCTATGTATGTATGTATGTGATGTGATGTGACATTCTGACATTCGACATTGAATGGCAGCTGAGAAACTTCAAATGAAAGTAAATATTATGGATGAAGATAAATCACGCCTGTAATTATTTCTAAATTTGTATATTTTCCTTGTGTTATGAGAACTAATTAACTCATCTATTTTTACAAAGACATCAGTAGCCAGGTAATTGTTTGCCCAACATAACCTTATTTTATTGTTCCCTATCTTTTGGTCTTAAAATAAGCTAGTTTTTGGAAGGAATCGCTTAATACCAACCTTGTGAGTATCAGTAATCTGTTATTACTAGAACTCATAAGGGTGGATTCATAGTTTTGTTACTTACTAGCACATTAGGCATATACCTGTTTTATTATTAGGCCCAAGTTAGTGGTAACTTATTTCTCATATAGGCTAGATAGCTTATCTACTCCAACGGATGTCTACCCTTGTCTGGACTGTAATTAATGTCATCATCATTTATAGTAAGGCTAATATTCAATCCGTGAAATATATATTTAGGCTACTTCTATAAATGACGAGACCTTGAAGAAAGATTTTTCCTTCAACAAGGGAAATCGCAAGTCAGGTTCTAATCAATGGCACAAGTACCCAAGTTTTGTACATACTTTAACACTTGAGTGTTAAGTATTGTGTGCATTCAGTGGCGGCTAGCCCATAAGGACTCTTGAACGTCAACCTCCCAACAATAGGCTACATACATAAATTATATTTTAATATTCTTCAGTTAGGGTTTAAATTAAATCAAAATTACTTCAACGAGAACTTTAAACAATATACAACATAAGTTAAATATATAAAATAGTTGGATAATTCAATTCAGGAATGGTAACTTATTTTTGATCGTCACTTGCTTAGTGTGGACAGCGGCCAGACCGTCCCAATCCCAATGTAGTCTTATGGCAGCACAACCAAACAGCGCTGAGGGTGACATGACGTCATTCCAACACTTTAGTATGGGCGCTTTGGGGCAGAGTCCAAAGTTGCGCGCACACTGTTAAATCAGGGCAGCCACCACAATCTGGATATTCTTTATGCCAAGCTACCGTTATGATGGGTAGAACTGATGTTGGGGTACCTGTTTTTATAACTCAAACCATCTTAGCTTAATTTCTAAAACTAGAAATCAACTGAGCTAAACTGAAACAAAATTTTATTTTGATTTGGTGTTGTTGTTTAGAGATTAATGAATAGTGATGTAGGAGTAGTGTTTGTGCGTGTATTTAAATAAAATACTGACTTTATAATTTATTAAATTTATTTCGCATCCAATTCAGTTAAAGGTAGGCCCTGTATTTCTGGTTAATCTATATACCCTAACTAATACGCTACATGAAATTTTGTCGGTTGAACTCCTCTGCCATTTCTTAACCGATTTTATCCATTGGCGTATCATTGGAAAGAATGTGTCGCATAGATTTGCAAACCGACCTTACATTTTTGGAAAAGTCCCTTGGGCGCTGTTCCCCAGTGGCTGTTAAAGTTCCCATGTTATCCTTATGAAGAACATAATTGTTTACATTTTGATCAGCTGTATAATTCAATTGCTGTTGTTTATTTTTCAATTCAACGAAACACATTGGGTACATTTACTGATTTTGTTAAAATTAAATATTTACTACTTTAATTTACATTCATACATACGGTATTACAATGTAAAAAATCGTGAAAGCCTGGGCAATTTGATATATTTTTCAAAAAAGGAAAAATGAATTGACAGGGTACTGTATTTCTTGAGCAATCATTGGTTGCAATTGCTCGATTTCGAGCAACATGTACACTAGTTAAATAGGTTTTTAGGTTAGGTACCGGTATAGGTTTAAATGCAATTTCCCTATTTGGCTTTCTATTCCTTATTACCTTGACCTTAGATATTTCATCATTATTTTATAATGTTATTTTCAGGACAGACTCATTTGCAGACATTATTATTAAGTTAAATACAATAGCAGCCTTGGAAACAAGTTTAAATAAATATATCGTAGGCTATGTACGTGTGTTTGTATTAATTTAAGCCTTTAATTTTTTCAATTCTTTGACAAATGTGAATAGTGTTAGGCTTTCGTTTATCTATATAAAAATATGCAGAGCCCTCCCACCATTTAAGAACACCAGCCGCGACTGTGTGCATTAAGTTTATTTGATAAACTGCAATCATAATAAGCCTCAACTTGAGGCACGTATATCTTTTAGTTTCTTCCTGAGAAAGCGAAGAAACGGATGAGCCTATCTTAGTCAGCCTAATTGATAAAAAAATGAATTTAGTCTTAATTAACCAATATTACCTAGGAGTTATTAGCCGTCTATTGTGTTAGTTTATTCATTGCTCACATACAATTAATTAATTAATTTAGGTTCCTTCTGACTGCTGTGTAAATTTTGTTATCTCGATCCATGTGTTTCATTTTAGGTACCGGTAAGGCAGTTAATTTTAAAGAATAGTTGGTATCTTTTTGGCTTAAGATAGCACATTTTTGCTACCTATAAATTTCTTTCAAAGGGTCTCTTTTGTGATAAGGTAGGCTACTAGTTAAATGATACATTTTGTGTCCTTAGTTCCTAGTAAAAACTGTACCGTAGTAAACAAAAAATATAGCCCCTGGTTTTATCTTCAAAGTAGTCTAAAATTTGTAGTTTGATCAAAATAAAACCTGGTTATTCGAGCTTAAAATGTTCTGAAAATCCGCAAGAGATATGCTAACAGCTTAACTAACAATTAGGTTTACTTAACTTGTAATGTAGCCTTTCCTTTTTAAATTTGAAAATGTTTCCATCTCAATTTAAAAGAAGATAAACATAAAGCCTAGATGGCTTATTAGAAATTATTGTGTTACTTACCAATTTAAGGAAAATAACTCATTAATCTTGGCCAAGGATCACGAATTTGTATATAGGTAGGCCTAACTACCTTCGCCCTAGCAGATCTGCAGACTAAGCCAATTTCCATTTGCCTGATTAAATTTTAAATAAGACTAGTCCTATTTCCTTAAGCATGTCAGATTTATTCCCTATTTAAATAGTGTAAGTTAAGCCAACGGCTGTCGTTCATTAGTCTCATTTGTAAGTTAGGGGAATTTCGTATGCACGGATCGTGATGTGACTGGACTATCGAACTAATAAAGGGTATCTATATAAGACTATATCAAGGAAGGACTACAGTCAGCCCCGGAAGTGAGGCTGATCTGGGGTTTTTTAATCGCTGTTACAATGAAAACAGTTTCTACGCAGGCTTCCATTCACTCTCCGAGCCACTAATGCACATTTTCTGCAAAGACATCCATCAACTGGTAACAGTTAATCACCAAATTTTGGGCCCTTCAAGTCATACAGAAACCCAACCATAGAACGTGTTTCATACTTGGTGGGAGTGTTTATTTTCTTTTACAAGGTTTTTTAATACTATGACCAGACTTAGTGTTCCAGGAGAGGAATCCAGCTACAGTAGGGGATGAAGTAAGGAACATGACGTTGGTCTCAAATTTAAACTGGCTTGCTTCTTGGTTGCAACAGGAGCTCGATGGACGCCATAATTTACAGACAACTTTCAAATGATCAAAATACGTCCTTAAACCTACAACCTACAACCTACAACTGTTTACCTCTCAATAAGAATAACATGGGCATTTTCAATCCAGCCTATTTTTTTTTTTAATTTCTCCTGAAACCATTAAGGAACAACACGTCAATAGTCTAATTTTTTAAGCACTAAACTTACACAATGGCTGTAGTAAAAGTTAGTATAAATTTTCATCTATTAAAGGTAAAGACCCCCACAACAGCAAACCTGCAGACTAAGCAAATTTCGATTTGCCTGATTTGATTTTAAATGAAATCTATTAAAATTTTCAATGACATTAGGTTTAATGAGTACCTAGATTTGTTGCTACAGGAGGATAATAAAGTCTGTTTTTTTATAAAATATTAACAGCTCAGTATAAAATAAATAAATTTGCCAAGTTTGATCAAAATGTAGGCTAGACAACAGTTTATATTTTAAATTTACAATTTTTTTTGAAATTTCTCCATAACCAATAACCGTACAAAAACACTGCAATATAATCAATTGTATGTTTTTTAAAGTCCTAGAAATGGTTTAGGTAGAAATTGGAAAATTTTATGTTTTGGTCAAAAATGAGAAAAACCATATTTTTACCCCATAAGACCAGGTTTACAGGATTACCCATAAACGGGGTTTATGGGGAGATTTATGGGGTAAAAATAGGTCCGATCATGCTGGTTCCCGAACTAGTTTGCCCATTAGCACAATAACTCGAGCAAAAATGATACGATGAAATTTTGTAAAGACAAATAAACCAGAGTTTATTCAAACTAGTTTGAGAATCAGCATGAACAAATAAATTACACACATATATATGATATATATATATATATATATATATATGAATTTGAACGGTTGGTGTTTATAACCTCTGGTGACATCAAAATGAAAAAGTAAATCGGTCTTGGGTCCAGGTCTTACCATGGACCTACGGTAATATTAGCTTATTCCCTATAATGGGAAATTCGCTAAAAATAAAAACATAAAAAAAATAAACTCTTAAGTTACAACACTCCACTGCCATTACTCAATCTTGCTGGTCTGCAAACTCATGACCGCAATTGCTTGAGTTATCTCGGTCACAGACACACATTTATGTATATAAATTTGAAGGAATAGTGTTTATACAGTAGACTCCCTCTTATCCGGACTCCTCGAGACCGAGGACAGTCCGGATAACGGTTTTTCCGGTTAAACCGACGTCCCCCAAAACTCGTTAAAACGGACCGTTTACTGTGATATTCGTATTCGACTTAAATTTAGGAGAGCATTGTATTTAGACACGTGATCACTGGTCTCAAATCTTTCCCACGAGAACAGTTGTATCAGTACCGCCCACTTCCTGCCGATCCAGTCCGGTTAAACCAATCGGCTGATAAAGATTGTCCGGTTAAAGAGATTTCATTTCTACCGAGTGTAGTCCGGTTAAACCGATGTCCGGTTAAAAGGTGTCCGGATAAGAGGGAGTCTACTGTGGCATTTCGGGGGATGAGTAATTCGGTCCCGGGTTTCACTCTTGCCATGCCACCTAAAGTAATAGCTTCTTTCTTCTTTCATACAAGAGAAATTAACTAAAAGTACGAAAAACATCTTATACGAGTCTTTTCCAACTACGGTGTGATGACAATTTTGTTTCGACACTTATACTGTAAATAAAATCTAATTATCTTTTTTCTGCTGATGAAGTAATAATTGTTTTAGGTGATGCCTAGTCTGCTGGATAAGATGGACTCATCTCATAATCCACTAGACATGACATCTACTCCAGCTCAGGACAAACTGTCTTCCTATAATTACTCCTCAAACACTCCTACTCTCTGCCTTGCTGTAGAGATTTGCGTTGTATGTGGCGATAGAGCCTCTGGTAAGTTTCCACTGTCTTCCTATAATTACTCCTCAAACACTCCTACTCTCTGCCTTGCTGTAGAGATTTGCGTTGTATGTGGCGACAGAGCCTCTGGTAAGTTTCCACTGTCTTCCTATAATTACTCCTCAAACACTCCTACTCTCTGCCTTGCTGTAGAGATTTGCGTTGTATGTGGCGACAGAGCCTCTGGTAAGTTTCCACTGTCTTCCTATAACTACTCCTCAAACACTCCTACTCTCTGCCTTGCTGTAGAGATTTGCGTTGTATGTGGCAACAGAGCCTCTGGTAAGTTTCCACTGTCTTCCTATAACTACTCCTCAAACACTCCTACTCTCTGCCTTGCTGTAGAGATTTGCGTTGTATGTGGCGACAGAGCCTCTGGTAAGTTTCCACAAGTTAATATATTTTTAATTACCATTTTGCTTGGATGAATTGAGTGTTGCACTTTTACATACTTGAAAATAGAACGCTAGTAAAATATTGTTCGGGGTTGAGGGTGTAAACCATTATAGAAAAAAATACTAGACCCAGTGGTAGCTGTCCAGTGGAGCTCATCCACCTTGAGTAGAAGGCACAATAGTTATTTGTATAACTAGTGCACCAAGTGGCACTTTGAGCTCGCATTACGCATTATATTTTTCCTACAGTTACTATGATGGTTGGGTACTATGACTAGACTTGGTGTTCCAGCAGAGTAAACCAGCTACAGGTGACCACTAACTTTCACTAACTTGTTTGTTCCAGGGAGGCACTACGGAGCAATTAGCTGTGAAGGGTGTAAAGGATTCTTTAAGCGATCAATCCGTAAGCAGTTAGGATATCAATGTAGAGGTACTAAAAACTGTGAAGTTACGAAGCACCATCGGAACCGATGTCAGTATTGTCGTCTGCAGAAATGCCTGACGATGGGAATGCGCAGTGACTGTAAGAAGCATACATTTTACTATAATATATTAGGCTTGATATTTTTTGTATCAAACTTTATTTACAGCTTCAGTGGATTATATTTTGTTGCACGACAGAAATTATTATGATGAATAATATAATACCAACAGCTTCAGACTATCAAAATTATTATTAAAACAAACTTGTTGGTAACAAAATAGAAGGATTCAGGTATATTTGCTAATTAAATTATTATTGTTACCTTACAATATCCGTTTGGTGTTGGTAGATAGACAACTACATGTTTCGTGGCGACTGCCACATCCTCAGGTTATCCTCTTCTCAGATTCGTCATCAATTTAAAAATATAAAACACTGAACACACGTAAAAAACACATTACATTAAACATTTATTTTGATACCGTCACGGTGCGTGCACGCGTTTGGTCGGGCCGGCGGCGACAGAAAGAGGAGTCGCCGCCGGCCCGACCAAACGCGTGCACGCACCGTGACGGTATCAAAATAAATGTTTAATGTAATGTGTTTTTTACGTGTGTTCAGTGTTTTATATTTTTAAATTGATGACGAATCTGAGAAGAGGATAACCTGAGGATGTGGCAGTCGCCACGAAACATGTAGTTGTCTATCTACCAACACCAAACGGATATTGTAAGGTAACAATAATAATTTAATTAATATAAAGCAATATCCAGAAGTAGGACAATGAATTCTGATATATTTGCTAGATCTAGAATGAACTTAAGAATTATAGGCCTAAATTATTTTATAAACAAATTTTCTAACTAAGTTCATAGTTGTTTGAGAGGGGTAAAAAAAATATTTTTTTTATAGGAAACATCAATGATAAAAAATATATATATTTGACGCTTTTGTATAATTTAAGAAAAATGTTCGCTTTGATACATTTTTGTCAAGATAGATATTCTTTGCAATCTACATAATCATTTATTACTATAGGAAATTATGGAGAATGTTTTTGAACTTGAGACCAATAACTCCTTGATTGATTTACACTTATTTTAAACACCACACTCTGCAGGAATCAGAAAATGTAGTAACTGAATTAGGTACCGAGTTACAAACTTTATTATTAAAATTTGATTGTTCTGCATCTGCATAGCTTATTGGCAATATGATAAAATATCAATACTTTATTACTTAAGCCACTGTATTAAATCACTCGAATTTGATACAAATACTATGCATAGTATTTGCTATTTAGGTATATGTTACTTCATTAATCTTAGTTTTTGTACAATTTTCTATTAAAGTTCAATTAATGTTTTCACTAGAGACTTATAAGGAAGTTTTCCTATGTAAACATTTTCAAAACCTGTCATAAATTGGAGTTAAGATGTTAATAGAGGAACTACACTCATGAGGTATGCTGAAACCTTAAACTGTTGGACCTTGCAATAAATGTTAATGTAGTTACAGTGTAAAATCCATAGTAGGTATTCTTTAATTTTTACCACAGTATTCACATTTAAGTAAGTAGGCCTTCTTGCCATTATCCTCAAAGCAATATTTAGATGCACAAATTTACTAACTTGTATAAAGGTTCTCGTTGGTATGTCGTCTCAGTTTGTTGTAAATACATTTCTTTATACTGTAATACAAATTTATACTCGAACAACCTAAATAAGAAATGTTTGAATTGGTTAAAACATCTATTATCAATTATTTGACAAAAACTGTTTCAGCTGTCCAACATGAAAGGAAGCCTATTTCAGAGAAGAAAGAAGTGAATAATTTTATGCCTGGAGATAATAATTTTGCAAATTATTCCAATAACCCAATGAAGATCTTCATCAGAAAAGACTTGTGCCTAGAGTCACAGCAGTATGGCTTTCAATCAGCAGCTCTCAGTCTGGGCTACATGAGCCCTTTACAATATGGCCTTAACACTGGTAAGTTTACCTCATACAGTAGGAGTAGAGTCTGTGTGGTATGTCTGTGCACAGTGTACATCTGAGCAACACCTTTATTTGTAAAATATACATCAGGCTTAATGTATCAGCTCTTTACTGCATATTGTTGTTTTATTTGTTATTTACTCATACCTGCAAATATGTATGCTAACAAGTTCAGATTTTAGTATGAATCAGTATTTTATTTTTTAATTTCTTTGAAACTACCCCTGGAGCCATTCACTTGTCCCTTTTTACTTTTAAATAGGCCTATATTACACGATTCTCTGTGAAATCTATTGTGGTGTACTTTTCCTGAGGGGGACAATAGTTACAAATGTTGTCAAGATAGCTTAGCAGTTTAGTCTAAAATGGCTAGGTAGAATTCCAGGGTCTGTGATACGGGAAACCATTAGACTCTTCAGTCAAGTCCAATTGGTGTTGGACCTAACCCGAATCTTTACTCTCCCAGGGGGACGTTGCCACAGAAAACATACGCATGGCAACGCTGGTGGCGCTGCCTACTGATTGACAGGCAAAGCTCTCTCAAAACACTTAATGGTTTTTACCATGCGTTTGGCATTCTGGGTTATAGTTGTATGTCTTCTGTGACGTTGCTGACATCTCAATTATGTCTCATGGCACAAGTCCGATCTGGAGTAAGAATTTAATCTTTTCATTGATGATAGAGAGAAAAACATTACTAGGCTAATTAATTTGATAGCAGAATTAAGTAGTTTCCGGCCAAAAACAAATTGACTTATTAAAGTTTGGGTTTTCTTTTGCTCTGCAGAGGGAGAGAGACAAACATCACCAAGTCTAAACAATACATGGGACGACGACGACGCCTCATCTGACAGTTACTCTCCTGACGGTGAAGTGGCAGACACATTGTGCCTTGCTCAGGACAAAACTGTAATCCATAGTGCCTTGGACACTGTTGCTAAGGTGGTCAGTGGAGAGGTTAGTGTGAAAAGTAGCATATTTGCTAATTCAATATTAAATAACTTCTTAATCAGCATCTTACGTATTATTAATTTTACTTAAAATAATTAAAATATGTCAAATTACACTTGAAACATGTATTTACAACCATACTGTTCTAAAAATACGGTAAATATATACAGGGTGTTACAAATTGTCTGGACATATTTTGTGGACTTGTTCCTTGGGCTGGATGAGGTTTTGGATTTATGGAGTAAGTATTTTGAAACCCTTCTTAATGGGAAAGAGATGGTAACAAGAGATGAGAAAGAGGAACAAGAAAACAGCCCAAATTCAACCTGAAGTATTAGAGTCTTCCCTAAATGAAGTAGAGGAGGCTTCAAAATAAAAAAAAATAAAATAAAATAAAATAATAAAGTTCCAGGAGAGGCTGGCATATTCAAAGAACTTTTAGGAACCTCATTAGGAGAATACATAAATTGATAGGTGTTATATGGAAAAAGTAAGAAATTCCAGAAGACTGCAGTTATAATACTATTGCACAAAAAGGGGATGAAACTCATTTATAAACCCCAGACCTATAAAATAATTTCAAAATTATTGTACGACAGGCTTGTATAATACTCTGAAAACATCATTGGGACCATCAGGCTAGTTTTAGAAAACAAAGATCGACAACCGATCAGCTTTTCATTAAAAAAATATATTATCATAATTCTGGGAATTTAATAAAAGTGTACATATATTATTTGTAGACTTGAAAAAGGCATATGATAGCATTGGCAGAAGGAAAATGTGGAAGCTACTGAAGGACTACAGGATTCCAGAAAAATTGAAACAATGCAAAAACCTGTATAAAGGACACAAAAGGAAAAGTCAGAGTTATATGGTGAATTTGGTGACACCTTTGATATAAACACAGGAGTAAGACAAGGGGATGGTCTATCTCCTCCTCTCTTCAATCTTGCATTGGAAGAGACTCTCAAAGAGACTCAAAATCTTAATTCTGGAGTACTTCTTGGACAAAAAATCAATATTTTAGCGTTTGCTGGTGATATAGCTTTAATATCTGAAGAAAATGATGGTTTGAAACCCCTGGCTGAAACGCTTCTAAAGAATGCAGAAAAAGCTGGTCTTTTTGTAAGTGAAGAAAAAAACCAAATACCTAGTTGTGAGTAGAAACCCAAATATTTATAGAGACTCTTTTAATGTAAATAGTTATACCTTCCAAAGGTGCGAAGATTTTAAATATTTAGGAGTCACTGTAGACGAAAGTAATGATGAAGAGAAAGAAATTTAAATTAAACTCCTACAGGGGAATAAATGTTGTTGGGCCATCCAGAAACTACTGAAGAGTAAAATTCTATCTAAAAATACAAAACTAAGACTCTACAAGAGTATGATTTTACCTGTTGTATTATATGAATCTGAGGTATGGACACTCAGCAAAAAATCAGAACAGAATCTGAAAATTAGTCTTTGAAAATTAAATTCTTCAATCAATTTTTTGTCCAATTTGTGATCGGGGAATATGGAGAATAAGCACCAACATGGAGCTTGGACAAGATCCAGACATAATAGCTTTAATCAATAGTAGAAGATTGAGGTGGGCTGGCCATGCAAATAGTAGAGAGCTGAACTCCACACTGAGAATAGCAACAGAAAATCTTCCACGAGTCGGACGACCATTGGGGCGCCCAAGACTGCGATGGAAAGATCAGGTGCAGAAGGGCAAGTTGGTAAGGTAAGATAAGGTTCCTTGGGCTAAGACAAACATAAAATGCCGTATAAGTAGGGGTCTAAAATTCCTTGTTTTTAGGATCAAAAAGATAGAGGATTTTAATCCAAATCAAATGAGACCTTGTTTGTTAAAATCGGATGACAAACAACCAAGTTATCAGTTTTTTTCTACATTCGGTTACACAATTAGGACTACCATACTGTTTATTATTTGTTATTTTACAGATCAGTATGATAGTCAATATTGGTTGTCCCTAAGTTGATAAAACTTAAAACTGATCCAAAAAAGTTAATAATGTTTGTAAGATTTGTTAAACTAAGTTAACTGCCCGTTAAGTTGCCTGTTAAGTTCTAGCTAAATATTTAGAAGTAAGTAATTTTGAGTCATTTTATATAATTAAGTTAATTTTAGGCTCCAGTATTAAGGAAAATTTAGAACAAATTGAAGAACACTTTTTAAAAAATAGGCCTACATATTCATTGTAGGTTACAGTTTAAGGTGCAGGCTTTTTTGGGGAAAAAAAGATTTAACAAGTTTGGTGACTGTGATGGTTCTTTGGAGGCCTAGTCCCTGTATCATTATTGTGGGTTTTTAGGTACGGTATTTCATTAAGTTAAAAGTACTTTTAGACGCCCAATTTCTAGAGATAAGCCTATTACATAATATGTTGCATTTCGCAAATATGTTGTTTGCTTCATCAGTTTTAAAATACTTCCAAACTTGGGAAGTGATTATCAAGAATTTATCACAAATTATTCTATAAAAACAACAACTTATGGAAGGCATACTTCTACATTCCTGTAATAAACTAATCCACTTTCACTTAATTATAGAAAAAACAAGTTTAATTATTCATATCAACATATAAATAATTATTTAAGAAATCTGACGAAAACAAAGACTCATTCTTAATTTCATAGAAACTAGACAGTAGACAGACGACGGACAACGCTAAATTACATTTAAACTTTCTCATCTCACTCGAGAAAGAGAAAGACAAAAACAAAATTACGAACCACCGAAGAAAGCATACCGGTACAAACAATAACAATTAAAGCCCTTCTTGGTTTGCCGAATGCAGGCTTGGGTGTTAGTCATGTAGCCATGTAGTCTCATCCATCAATAAATCAATTTTACCCGTTGAATTTGAAATAGTAGTCTTGCGCAATGTGCAGTGTTTCCATTTGTCACTGTGGTTTCAGATCGAATACAATAATATGATTCGTCGATATCGTGAATACCCCGTCATTTAACCATTGGACATAAAAATATGAATTCAGCCACTGACTGGACTCGGCTGAGTCAAACAGTTAACGTGAACTGGACTGAGCTTGAGGTCCGAGTCGTACATTTAGCACACACACACATTTAGTCGCACGTTTAGTGCACATTTAGTCGTATTTATGTTGCTTCTGTATTTCCATAGTTCGTACAAAACAAAGTCAAATAAATAACTGTATGAATTAAATTAAATAATCCTATAACTTGTACGGTAACTATTTTTAATAATCAACCACAGACAAGGAAAGGATGGTTTTAAGATAGTGTAATAATTTTGTTGAGTCCAAATAAACCATTTATTTGATTCAGTCTTTACTTAGCTTGCCTTCTGTCTTCTGCTTGAAGATGGTCTATTGCAGTCGGTGTTTGCTCTATCTATCAGCTGACGATAGTGACGAGAACTTAACCAGTGACTGATACTGAAATAAAATATAATAACTCACAAACTTTGTATATATTAGTGATGTAGCTTAGTGTAAGTGTAACTCCAAAGATGCTACAACTTGTAGCGAAATGCGCATTAGTGATATAAACTTAAAAACATCAAGAAATAAAGGCACCTCTACAAAATAAAAGGTAAATTTGTATGTATGTTTTCAATAAAGAACTGATTAATTGGCATACTTCGGAATAACAAATAGAATTTCTAACGAATAGCAATATTCGTTAGTTTTTTCGACTAACTTCTATTTTATTCGGTAGTTTTTTAAAAGTGCTGGAAATAACTTCTACTCAGTTAGATTTATAGCTAGCGAATAGGTAATATATTCGTTCGTTTTTAACTGTTAGATTTTTTGTCAGGTGGAAGTATCTCAAATACGGGTTATTAATTTTATGTGATCAGTGAGGGTTGCGTGCGGCCGTGAGGGGTCAGCACCCTTGTTGACGAAAAACGTGGGGGGTGGGGAAAGAGAAAGTCAAAGTCCGGTTGCTTTGGTATGCAGTGGGCCCGTGGAAGGGCAGTGACGGCCAATAACAACACCCCAAGCACCGAGGGGTGGGAAGGGGGAATGTTTGTTTGGTGATTATACACTCAAGTTATTATAAGTGTCAAAACATTCTCCTCAGTTGATGATGTTCATTATCTGACAGTGACAAGTTTTAAGTAATTTGTTTCTGTTGAGTAATGTAAAATGTGACAATGTTTGATTAAAACACAAGTGCCAGGGGACCGAGCATTTCTCGAGGTGTTTTATTTGTTCAAGAGGTAAAAAAATTGAACTTATAAGCCTACAAATATTTTCAGTTTTACTACGATTAATTAAGTTGTAAAGTCAATTTGTTTTTGGTAGACATCCACTCATCCTTAATTTACCTAACAAACTTTTTCATGTGGACGAGCAATTTATAAAATTTCTACTATAAGCTTCAATGTAAAACTCATGATATGATACAAAACATCTTATATCTGTTGACCGTTATTGCGTTAGCCACTGGGATCGCGGAACATTGCAACTATAATTACGGGATGGGGTAATAACGCACCAACTCGTGCTGCACATCGTCGAAAACTACAAAACGTCCTAGGCCTTTCCTTTAGACCTTTAGTTCAATATCTAACGACTCCATCAACAACGAGGACGTCCACAACGGCTAGGAGATCATCGCCAATCCCCGGACACGACAACATGGAGAGGACCGGATAAACAGCATGAGTATAGAACTGAAAATTTTAGTTTATAATGTTTGCGGCCTAAAGGACAAGATTAGTGATGGCCATTTTGTTAGTTTACTTAATAATTATGATATTGTAATTTTACTAGAAACATTTATTTTAGAAAAGGATAAAGATTTAATTGTAAATGGCTTTGCAGGATTTATTGTACATTTTAATTTTGCAGTAAGGTCGTCCCATTTTGGAAGAGGCAGTGGGGGGTCGCTCTGTTTAGTTAATTTAAAATCTAAGCTACTAAGTAAAATTGAAGTGTTGGAAATCGAAAACTATAAGATTTTTAAGATTAAAGATAGTAACAGTATTGATGATGGTTGTATCAGGCTTCTCCCAGTTTATCTAAATTTTGGGAACTGGGATAGTGAATTTGAGAAACTCACAACTTTTTTGTACAATAATGATTTTAAAAACTTAATATTGTTAGGGGATTTAAACGGGAGAATTGGAAGAGAACAAAGCCTGCCTAATGAAGTAATCCCGGAGGCAATAAAGAATGTTAATTTTGAGAGGTATTCAAAGGACTTAATAACAAATCAGAAAGGTCGTAAAGTACTAGAATTAATGGATAATTTGGGTCTAATAGTATTAAATGGGAGGACTTACGGAGATAAAAATGGGGAGTTTACTTTCGTGGGTCATATGGGAAGCTCTGTCATAGATTTGGTGGGAGTGTCAATCAATTGTTTGCATGCTGTCAAAGATTTAAATGTGTTAAGTTTTGTAGGATCTGACCACCTTCCTGTTGACCTTAGTTTAGAGATAACAGCTCCTAGAGCCGAGGATGAGATTGAGGACAGGGAGGAGAGTAATAAGATATTTTTGCTTCCTAGATTAAAGTGGGTAGATAATGATAAGGAGAGGTATTGTAAAGTAATTGGCGAGAAACTATTAAGTGTGCAATTAGGAGACGACGCACAAAGGAATGTCGATTCAATTATAGGCTGCATCACTGAATCAGCGCGAACTAAACAAGTTGTACCCAAGAACAAATGTCTTATCAGTAAAAAGGCTTGGTTCGATAAGGAGTGTCAGTCAGCTCGTAGGCGCTCATTCAAACTCTTGAATAAGTTTCGGAAAACTAATTTAGATTTAGATAAAGTAAAATACTTGGAGGTGATCAAATTATTTAAAGCACTTTGTAAAAAAAAGAAAAAATCTTACTACAATCAAATTATAGATAATGTGTCTCAAGTAACGAACAGTAAGCAGTTTTGGAGTGCAATAAATTCTTTCAAATGTAAAATTCCAAACCAAATTGGTAAAATTGCGATACAGGATTGGTCGAAGCATTTTAAGAGTTTATTAAATCCACCCTTGTTAGTATCTACTGTTTCGTATGCACAGCCAGTAGTTTGTGACGAATACCTCGATGCAAATATTTCACTAGATGAATTAAAAGCTGTGTTGTTAAGGGTAAAAAATGGCAAAGCACCTGGCATTGACAGGGTGCCATATGAGTTTTTTAAAAACGCACCGGATGCATTACTTAATAGTCTTATTTATATTTATAATAGTATTTTTGAGAGTGGCAATGTCCCACAAACTTTCAAGGAGTCTATTATTTTTCCTTTACATAAAAAAGGCAACATTAATGACGTCAAAAATTATAGAGGGTTGTCCTTTATCAACTGTGTAGCTAAGATTTTTATAAACATTTTAGATTCAAGGTTAAGTAATTGGGCTAGTGATAGGCAGTTAATAAGTGAGTTTCAGGCGGGATTTAGGAGAGGTTATTCAACCATCGACAATATCTTTAACCTAAATGCGATTGTGCGCCTAAGGCTGGCAAGGACCGGAGGTAAGCTATATGCTTTCTTTGTTGACTTCTCGGCAGCATTCGATACTATTGATAGGAAGTCGCTACTGTTTAAGTTATCCTGTATAGGTGTTTCAACAAAATTTTTAAATATTTTTAAGAACTATTATGATGGTACTAGAGCGGGTGTGTGGTGTGGAGACAGTGTGACAGCAAATGTTGAAACTTCGACAGGTCTTAGGCAAGGATGTTCTGCGAGTCCTTTAATGTTCACTTTATTTATTAATGATCTTCCTGAGGCACTAGGTGGCGGCTGTAATTTTGGAGGGACTAGGATAAACATTCTTTTATATGCCGACGACGTTGTGTTGTTAGCGCCTACGTCCACCTGCTTACAACTTATGATAAGAAATTTAGAAACTTACTGTGAAACATGGAATTTGAGAGTTAATCTTGAAAAATCAAAAATAATTGTTTTCAGAAATGGGGGTAGATTGGCCTCGTCAGATAAATGGTGGTTCAATGGGAAACGTGTAGAAGTAGTAAACAGCTATAAATACCTCGGAGTGTTATTCACAGCGACGTTATCTTGGCAATCACATTTTAAAGATAAAGCGAGGCAAGCAAAATTAGCAATTAACTCGGTGTGGAATAACTTAATCAATAATAAATCTGTGCCTTTATCATCTAAAATTATGTGTTTTAATTCCGTCATAAAATCAATTGTTAGTTATGGGGCTCAGGTATGGGGTTGCTTCGAATCTGAATTCCTAGAATCCGTTCAAAAATTGTTTTTAAAGAGACTCTTCCGATTGCCTTATAACACGCCAAACTATGTGATATATTTAGAAAGTGGATTTAAAAAATTGTTTTTTTATAATATGATTACGAATTTAAATTACCTATTAAAAGTACTACATTTCCCCGATAATAGACTTCCTTTGATTCTAGCCAAACAAATTATAAACCATAACTTAGATTGGTGCAGACAGTGGAAGATGCTAGGTGAGAAGGTAGGGGTTGATGTAGATTTTGGATCAGAGGCGGTAAAATCGAGATGTCTGACGGTGGTGGAAAAGCTGAGTGACGTATGGATAGGAGAGTGTATAGGGCGCGCACGCACGTCCATTCACCACAGTCAGCTGATCAGCCTCGACCTTGGCCTTGAACTTGGCGATAGAAGCTACCTTACTGATAACGCCGATGTCAGCTTCGTTTCCTGGATAATTAAGGCTAGGGCAGAGCTGCTCTATTTGAATGGTAAACCTTGGTCAACGGGAAATAAGTTCTGTTCTCTTTGTAATATGGGTGAAATTGAAACCACATTTCATTTCATCGCTATTTGTCCAATTTTAAGTAATCTTAGATTAACATTTTTACACAATAGAGTCCTTTCTGAACGGGATTATATTAGTTTTTTAAATGGCAGGGATTGGCGAGCGTTAGTAAATTATTTAAAAAACGCCTGGCAATACAGGTGGATTTTAATACAAGAATTTAACAATTGAGGAAAAAATATCATAAAAAATTTAAATATCGTACTCTTCCAAACTTCCAAAAAAAAAAAAAAAAAAAAAACCGATATAACTAGAGAAACTGGTTGGATTGTATTATATTTCTTAACTTTAAAATAATGGCCATAATTGTTAGTTTAAGGAAAGATTTATAATTTTATTTTAAAGGAATCCAATAATTGTTTTGATTTAGTTTTAGACGTGCCAACCCGGCAGACGACCGAAAGGTCATTGCTGTAGCGCGTAGGCACGTCCCCTGCGTGGGACGAATTATTGTGCACTGGGTATTTTGGAAATAAAGCGCTTTTTCTTTCTCTTTCTTTCTTTAGTTCAATATCAGTGTATGATGTTTTGTTGTAAAATACTTAATGTTTTTGAACAGTCGTAATTATCCCTTTGGTTAGTAATACGTCGTACAATCTAAATGTATTGGTATTATATAAGCAATACTCAATAGCATTCATAGAATTCATAGCATTCCTTTTACTTTGTACTTTATTTTGTAATTTGCTATTGTACTGCAGATGATTTGTTACAAGCTTATGTTACAATCCATTTGTTTACATTTTCGTAACACTGTCATAGCTACTCGACAGTCCATAAGACTAATTTTAAAAATATTAAAATAAGTACTTAATGAAAAATGAATTATCCTAGAACAGAGCCTGGCAGGGATATTGTTTTTAACCTAAAACTAAGATATTTCTAACAATTTGAAGGAAATCGTAGGAGCCATTTTTTTAATCATTGTACACAAACTTTACTCATATTATAGTTTAGATTAGTTACCAAGACGTGTCATTATTTCATTACATACAAAATCATTTAAAACAACTGCCCAACAAACAGCTAGGCCTACTTCTACAAAAACTAACTTTATTTTCTATCAGTTAGTTTTTCAACTAACTAATAACTTCTATCAGTTACTTTTTACGGGACTAACTAATAACTTCTAGAATTTTTGACTAACTTTCCCAACTATGTAAATTGGCAAAACAAGCGACTGAAATGAGAGTTTCTGAAAATACTATACCAAATAATACTGTTTATTTTTTCAGAACTTAAATGGAAACGAAAAAGGCGACAAAGAGTTAGAAGGGTTTGTTAAATTAGAGGGACGTCTGCTTCCTGAACACCATGTTCCATTCATTCTGCAAACTCCAAGTCCGATGCCGGCATACTTAAATGTCCACTACATCTGTGAAAGTGCTTCCAGGCTGTTATTCCTGTCAGTTCATTGGGTTCGCAATATCCCTGCTTTCCAGTTATTCAGGTAATGCTTGTTTGTGTACTGTTACTAATATGTTCGTAAGAATCATAAATTAACATAAATATAAGTGTAGAGTTTTGAATATAATATCAGAATAAACTACTGATAAAAGTAATGAATGGACTGGCTGGACATTGGTATTTCCAATGCATTCCATTATTGTTGGTTTTATCTATATTCGTTTTCCTTATCTGCCAGACAGTATTGTTCTTGTTTTATGCTTTCACTTTTTGCTCTGTCTCAGTCTACACACTACTGCCTTCTAGTTAACATGTCCTCAAATATATTGTAGTTATAGATTCAAAATGTAGTCTAAATTCTCTCTTTTAATTATAACCAATGTTAGAACATAATAGTACAGTTCAGTGTATCAGTGACAGTGATGTGAAGTGAATGAAGTAAATCTTCAGTATTAATATTTGGATGAAACCTCTACAAGTGAATGGACTGGTAATTCTCTCCTGTCGTCAACCTGCACGCCACTTTTAAGCTCAAGTCATCCCTCTCCTCTACGGGCATCACTGGACCACTAGCAAAGTCTCTCTACGTCAAACCTCTACTCTCCTAGCTACTCCTTTGAGGCCAACCCTCTGCAACCTTCCCAGACGACATCGCCAGCTCCAACCCTCTTACAACCGCTTCGCTACCCACGTCACGACCTCACTTGAAACTCACCACAACCTGGACTTCTCAAGAAAGACTCCGCAAGTAGAAAATAATTTTTAACTTAATTTATTTAGCAATTATTCAAAATACTCTTACAATATTTCTATCAGATTTTTAGGATTTAAAAGTTTTAACCTTCCGGAAGATTTCATTTAATATTCTAATCTAATATAACAGTTCTTGTCATAATTCAATATATCCAATTTTAAAACCTGATATTAAAAAGTGTGTGAACTGAGAAGCAGAGTTTTTATTTCATGCTCTCCGATTGCCTTTGGGTAAAATTAAATTAATACATTTTGAGAATAGAATTTTTAAGATTTAAAATTCTCTACGACTCAACAAATTAATGGTCCTTCGAGCCGGATGGATTACAGTAACTTTAAAGTTGGTAATTTCTTTTGTTTTGCAAAAGGAGAGCATAAATAAGTTTAAATTCTTTTGTAGTTTGTTTTAACTTTTTTAAGTTGCTTTATTTTTCTCTAGGGTTTCCTATACCTACCTATACCTCCTTGGTCATATAAACTTAATCTGCAAACATGACTCCCCGACCTACTGTCCAGTTAGAAACACTTGTTAAAAGGAGAGAAAAATATTTTGCTAGACTACAAGCTCTATATGATGTTGGCAAAAAATGTATACAGTTAGCTCAACAAAAACAAAGCTATACTGCTGAGTTAGACTCTTTTGTTTCTCGCTTCCAGCGAATCGAAGATGATTATGAGGCTTTTGAGCAAATATCTGACGAAATAAATGTTGTAAACACTCAGGTAGAAGAGGGTGAAAAAATTGATGTTAATAAAGCTTCATTAGCATATGATGAGATTTATTTCAATGTGAAGACAATTGCTCGTAAGATGAATGTAGGGAATTTAAATACACAAAGTAAACCGGAAACTACTCAATCATCTGTCCCAACACAATCTTCTCAAGTAGCAAGACTACCAAAACTGGAAATTGAACCATTTGATGGATCAATTACAGCTTGGCCAAACTTTTATGCCCTCTACACCTCTATGATCCATAAGAACACTTGCCTAACCAAGGTAGAAAAACTTACATATTTACGTAGTTTACTAAAATCTCACGCACTCTCTCTCATTGACACTCTGGCCATATCAGATGACAATTATGACATTGCAATGCAAATTCTAATTGAACGATACCAGAATAAAAGATTATTAGCTTCTTGTTATCTTGACAAAATATTATCTTTTCGCCAAATGACAGAGGATTCAACTAACTCTTTCTCAAACTTCATGGAAGTATTCAATAGTAATTTGTCAGCTGTGAAGGTTCTTGGCATTGACGATTTATTTGATTTCACTATGCTCCACATTGGTTTACGCTCTTTGACACCAAACACTCGTAAGGATTTTGAAAGTCATCATTCAAGTAATGATATCCCAAAGTTTGAAGACCTAATCAAATTTGTCCAACAACAGCTCAAAATTCTAGAAATCACTAATGATCCCAAGGGAAAATCAAAACCTCACAAACCTACCCAGTTCTCTAAGCCATCAAGCTCTCGCAGTGCAATGCTCTCTACTGTGAATACAATTCACTACGATAAAGGGAAGAATGCTTCATTAACGTGCCCGTGCTGTCAGGACATCTCTCACAAGATTTATGGTTGTTCAAAATTTAAAGGCATGAGTGTAGCGCAACGATATGATCAAGCTAAAAAGAGTGCCTTATGTTTTTCTTGCCTCGGATCTCACATGATATCTGATTGTAAATCTAAGTCTAAGTGTTTCAAATGCTCTGGTAAACACCACACTCTCCTACATCGTTCAGATAACAGTCAAGTGACAGAGTCTAAGCCTAATGCTGGAAATAATGTAGAACCTAAGACTTGCCACTACACTAATACTTGTTCAAGTACAAACATGCTACTGAGTACTGCTATTATTGGCATCCGTGATAACGATGGTGAACTAAAACAGGTAAGGGCCATCATCGATGGAGGGTCACAAACTAGTTTAATTACTACAGAATGTGTTGAACGCCTTGGTCTAAAAAGACGTTACAGCAAAATTACGCTTATGGCTGTAGCTAATACATCTGTCTCCCAAAACAAAGGCTCTGTAATGTGCAGTATAAGCCCAATCTCTACACCTGAAACTGAATTGACAACTGAAGCGATAGTGGTACCTAAAATTTCTTCTGATCAACCTAACATCCAATTAGATCGCTCTGTACAGTCAAAATTCTCTAATTTAAAGCTAGCTGATCCCACTTTTGACCAAAGTGCACCCATTGATTTTTTGTTAGGATCTGACTTGTACTATGATATTATTCTGGACTCACACAATATAATCAAAGGTCAACCTTCCGCTTTGGCAACCATATTTGGATGGATTATTGGTGGCAAAGTACCAAGCATTTCTTCTACAAATGAAAACTCATACTTTCTGACCTGCTGTGAGTCTGTAGATAAATCAATCAAAAGATTTTGGGAAACAGAGTCAGTAAACACTAAGAAACCTATCAATCCTGAAGACATTGAGACTGAAAATCATTTTCAAACTACTCATTTTCGTGATGAAACAAATAGATACGTAGTTTCACTGCCTGTAAGATCAGACAACATTTCGTTACCTAACACAAGAGAAATCGCTAAGCACCGTCTAATAAATTTAGAATCAAGACTGAAGAAAACCCCAACGATGTATCAGGAGTATAGGGACTTTTTGAATGACTACATTGCTCAAGGTCACATGAGCATTGCGACTACCCCCTCTACGTACATCATCCCTCATCACTGTGTAAGGAAAGAAGATAGTAGCACTACCAAACTCAGAGTAGTTTTCAATGCCTCTTTCAAACCTAAAAATGATGATAAGTCATTAAATGACAATTTGTTCCCAGGTCCTAAGCTGCAAAAGGATATAACTGAAATTATAACAAACTTTCGTCTTCATTCCATTGTTGTGTGTTCAGATATTAAGCAGATGTATAGACAGATTGTTGTAGCTCCTGAGCAACGGAGTTTGCAGCACATATTTTACAGAACCTTACCAAACGGACCTATTGAGGAGTATGAACTCAACGTTCTCACGTATGGTGTCACATCAAGTGCATTCCTAGCCCAGCGAGTTTTGTTGCAGCTTGTCAAAGATGAAGGAAAGCGATTCCCTCTAGCCTCAAACGCCATTCTGCATCAGACCTTTGTTGATGACATATGCACCAGTGTTGACACACCAGAACAAGCTTTGCAGCTACAGAGTGAACTCATCAAACTGTTAGATTTAGGAGGATTCACTTTACGCAAATGGTCCAGTAATTACAAACCTATCCTAGACAACGTACCAGAAGATCACCGTGAACAACCACTCGTCTTATGTTCAGATGAAGATCCTGGAATGAAAATTCTTGGACTGCAGTACAACTCCTTTGATGATACTTTTTCATACTCGATTAAGCTCAACCCTCTAGTTTTCACAAAACGATCAATGCTATCTGAAATATCAAAAATATACGATGTGCTAGGTTGGATCACTCCAGTTACATTCTATGTTAAGCATCTGATGCAAAAGTTATGGCTTCTTGGTTTGAACTGGGATGAACCTCTTCCAAATGAAATAAGTAGTAAATGGTCTCTGTTCATTTCTACTCTCCCACAACTTTCAAATATTAAGATCCAACGATTCATTCCCACAGCATCCTCAAATTCCACACAACTTATAGGCTTCTGTGACGCTTCTGAAAAGGGTTACGCTGCTAACTTGTACATCCGTACTGAAAACTCAGCTGGAATCAGAGTACACCTCATAAAAGCCAAAAGTAAAGTTGCACCATTAAAAACAATGAGTATTCCCCGACTAGAACTTTCTGCGGCTCAGTTACTTATGCAAATAGTAATTTCAGTAAAACATCTCAATTTTGACCCATCAACAATCATACTGTTTTCGGATTCATCTACTGTGTTGTCATGGCTCAAAACCCCTCCGTACAAATTGAAAACTTTTGTTGCCAACAGAGTAATTGACATTTTAGAAGAGACTAACCCAACACAATGGCGTCATGTAGCTTCGAAAGAAAACCCCTGTGATTGTGCCAGCAGAGGCATGCTTCCTGAAGATATAGTTGATTTTGATTTGTGGTGGAAAGGTCCTTCCTTCCTTCATGAACCCTCAACCCTATGGCCATCATCAAATGTAAAACCTACAGAAGAAATTCATCTCCCCGAATTGAAATCAGAATGTTTCCTAACAACTAGTCTCGATAACAACATAGTAATGAAACTTATGGAAAAATTCTCTAGCTTGTCAAAAGTGCAGTTCGTTCTTGCCTACTTGTTACGATTTATCTTTAATCTTCAAAGTCAAAAGAAAGGAATAAGCAAAAGGCAAGGGCCAATAACCGCTCAAGAACTAAACGACTCATTAATGTTATGTGTCAAAAATGTTCAAGAACAATATCTCTCAGGTGAAATACAAAACATAAAGGAACAGAAAATGTGCACCACTAAGTATCGATCTCTAGCTCCATTTCTCGATGAAGAAGGTTATCTCAGGGTGGGCGGACGTTTAAAATACTCCCAACTTTCATTCTCCAGAAAACATCCTATCCTAATACCAACATCATCTCGCTTAGCAACTCTGTTATGTGATCACTATCATAAACTATCTTTACATGGTAGTCCTCGATTGTCCCAATCTCTCATACAATCAAAATTTTGGATCAGTGGATTACGCCAATTATTACGAGAAAGAATATTCAAATGTAACAAATGTTACATGTTCAAGGCAAAGCCCATGACACCCAAAATGGCTGATCTTCCTTCTGCAAGATTTCAAAACCTCAGGGTATTCCTCAATGTAGGACTTGACTATGCAGGTCCATTTGAATTCAAAGAAAGTGATAGGAGAAAAGCTCCACGATCAAAGGGTTATTTGGTAATCTTCATTTGTATGTCCACAAAAGCCGTCCATCTTGAATTTGCTACAAGTCTATCAACAAAATCATTTCTTGCTGCTCTTGATAGATTCTGTGCTAGACGAGGTCTTTGTAAGCAGATTTTCAGTGACTGTGGTACCAACTTTCAAGGTGCCTCAAATCATTTCAAAGAGATTCAGGAGTTTTTAAAAAGATCCAATCCAGAGATATCACAGCATCTAGCCAAAAAGGAAATCAAATGGAACTTCAATCCACCTGCAGCCCCTCACTTTGGTGGACTATGGGAGGCCGCTGTTAAATCCACCAAACATCACTTGCAACGAGTAATGGGCACACTTGTTCTCACCTATGAAGAAATGAACACTTTGTTGACACGCATAGAGGCTATTCTCAATAGTAGACCAATCGGAACGATGATCACAGACCCTAACGATGGCGACTATTTGAGCCCAGGTCACTTTATTATTGGATCGCCACTCTTAGCTCCACCTGAAATTGACTGCAGTGACACACCCATGAACAGACTACAAAGATATGAACTTCTACAACAGGCTGTTCAGTGTTTTTGGAAGAGATGGTCACAGGAATACGTTCAAACCCTGATTCCTCGTAGAAAATGGACTTCCCTTCAACCCAATGTCAAAGTTGGTGATGTAGCATACCTCCAAATGAAGAACACCAGCCCACTTGAATGGCCAATCGGGCGAATAGAAGAAACTTTCCCTGGACGTGACGGAATAGTAAGAGCAGTCAAGATCAAAACCGCACAAGGGACGTTTGTGCGCCCAGTTCACAAGCTGGTTCCTTTCCCTCCCTCTGACTTTGACTCATAAACTACCCTTTCCTTTTTTTGTTTTGTTTGATTTTTTGTTTTTACGTTTGCAAATATTCATTTGGGTGGGCGGTATGTAGAGTTTTGAATATAATATCAGAATAAACTACTGATAAAAGTAATGAATGGACTGGCTGGACATTGGTATTTCCAATGCATTCCATTATTGTTGGTTTTATCTATATTCGTTTTCCTTATCTGCCAGACAGTATTGTTCTTGTTTTATGCTTTCACTTTTTGCTCTGTCTCAGTCTACACACTACTGCCTTCTAGTTAACATGTCCTCAAATATATTGTAGTTATAGATTCAAAATGTAGTCTAAATTCTCTCTTTTAATTATAACCAATGTTAGAACATAATAGTACAGTTCAGTGTATCAGTGACAGTGATGTGAAGTGAATGAAGTAAATCTTCAGTATTAATATTTGGATGAAACCTCTACAAGTGAATGGACTGGTAATTCTCTCCTGTCGTCAACCTGCACGCCACTTTTAAGCTCAAGTCATCCCTCTCCTCTACGGGCATCACTGGACCACTAGCAAAGTCTCTCTACGTCAAACCTCTACTCTCCTAGCTACTCCTTTGAGGCCAACCCTCTGCAACCTTCCCAGACGACATCGCCAGCTCCAACCCTCTTACAACCGCTTCGCTACCCACGTCACGACCTCACTTGAAACTCACCACAACCTGGACTTCTCAAGAAAGACTCCGCAAGTAGAAAATAATTTTTAACTTAATTTATTTAGCAATTATTCAAAATACTCTTACAATATTTCTATCAGATTTTTAGGATTTAAAAGTTTTAACCTTCCGGAAGATTTCATTTAATATTCTAATCTAATATAACAGTTCTTGTCATAATTCAATATATCCAATTTTAAAACCTGATATTAAAAAGTGTGTGAACTGAGAAGCAGAGTTTTTATTTCATGCTCTCCGATTACCTTTGGGTAAAATTAAATTAATACATTTTGAGAATAGAATTTTTAAGATTTAAAATTCTCTACGACTCAACAAATTAATGGTCCTTCGAGCCGGATGGATTACAGTAACTTTAAAGTTGGTAATTTCTTTTGTTTTGCAAAAGGAGAGCATAAATACTTCTTTATCACTTTGTCCTGTGATAAAGAATGTGTAGTGTGAGTGAGCCCAAGCTAGTTTTCCTTGTGGCTTTTTCCCTAAAAACTCAAATTTTCTTATTCTTTTCAAATAATTGTCATTTACTATATCAGTTTAATCATGTTACAGAGTTGAGACTCAAGTAGCTCTAGTCAGAGCCTGTTGGACGGAGCTGTTTGTCCTCGGAATGGCACAATGCTCTCAGATTCTCTCCCTGCCTTCTATTCTTTCTTCAATCATCAACCATCTGCACAACTCAGTTGCTCAAGAAAAGATATCTGCTCATCGAGTCAAACTGGTAACAATTTAATTTTGACTGTAAACGATTGCACTATGCATACTTTGTTACAATAACTAATGTCCAAACTGATTTGATGATCGGCATTTTACCAAGTAAAGGGATAAAAGTCAAACCTTAAATCGAGGTAAGCCAAAGGAATTACAGCATATTTGGGTAATTGGTCTTGTTCGTTAGAACTAGACAAATATGTATTTTGGATTGGCTTTAGAGGCATATCAGTGGTACACCGTACTCTTTTTTTATCTTACTAAATGCCTAGACATTTCGTATAAAAAGGGCACTAACACATTTAATTTAGTTTCTAGAATTTGTAAACTAGTCGGATTGGACACCACAGTAATCATCCCATTTGATCCATTTGTTGGGTGTGGAAACTTTAGTAGAAGTCAAGGTTGCTTCATCAGTTTAGCTAAAAAAAAGGCTGGATAGCAACATGACCTACAGGTTAAAGTTTCACAAATGCAAAATTCATTACAAAACTGAAACATATGCTAGTAAAAAAGATAAACAGAAGCACAAGCAAACATGTTCTTTAATTTCAAGAAATTTTTCTACCCTTAGTACAAGCCCGAGTCATTTTGTGTTTAACACGTTCGCTACTGCAATAGTATGAAATTTTTCATTCACATGGACCAGCGAAGCACATATGTGACGGCCGGTTTCCACCCATAGACTGTTGTCGCATATTTGCGTCAGGGTTCTAATGTTTTTAAAATGCTTATATCTTTGTAACGGTCTATTTGAAGGCACTGAATTCCCTGCAGTGGTCTACAGAGATGTCTGACGCATAACTACGTCGCTTGGTCTGTGGATATGATGATTGGTGACGTCATATGATAGTTGGAAAAACTGGTCTTTACTTTTCTGTATCACTGTATGTATGTGTGCAGTATGTATGCTGCATTATCCTATGTAGCTTTTATATTTGTTCAGTTATAAACTCAAACTGTTCTTGAATAATCTGTCTTTTTTACTAACTTTCACCTCAAAACACAAACAAAAATTAACTGTCGCATATATGCGACGTTTGGTCTATTTCAAGAAAACTATGATAGTTTTCACTATTGTCTTTGCTGTAGACCGGGCGTGGCAAATATTTGACATTACAAAAGGTTATAAAAAATACAAAAAAAAAAAAATTATTTACAAACACGACTGTAGCGTATTACGATGTAAAACAGTGATCATTTACAATGTAAATGATCACTGTTTTACAGGTTTTCTCCCGTGGTCTGTGTGTACTGTTTTCCAAGTGACAGCCGGTCTATGTGTAAGATTCAAATGTATACCTCGGTCTGTGGTAATGACCCCGACGTCGCATATATGTGACGCTCAGTGGCGAATGTGTTAATACTTATATCTTATAAAACATATGATATTGTTGAATTTCCATGTACTAAATACGTTTTGTAATTAAAAGTTACCTAGTTTGTAGGGTGATTGACTACAAAAATCTTTACTTGCAGGTGACAGATCATATTTGCATGTTGCAAGACTACGTCAACGGAATGTCATGTCTCCATGTTGACGAACATGAATACGGTTACCTCAAACTGCTCATACTGTTTAGTCCAGGTAATGAATGTGTAGGGTGTATAACTAAATTACTCTACAATTAAAAATACCCAGGCCCATCATTGCCTAGGTAGATGTTACAGTTAGTATTTGGAGGAAAGAGTTCTTGGCTTGAGTACACACTGGCAGTGTTAAAATTCATTTTTCAATCTGTTTGCAAACTGTATGTCTACTGACTTATGGAGTCTGAAGCCTAGTCTAAGGCCTCGGGTATGATACGAGCGGCGAGCGGTAACCTGAGCAGCACGTAAGCGGCGGTGGTGGCTACGATACAAGCGGCACATTTATAACGCTCATAAAATTTCCCCAGTTTTATGAGTCACTGCTTTGTTGTTTGGTCCGAGTTTTGATTTAACTAAACACAATCAGTATTCTCATTCGATTCTCAATGATTTCCCTGTATTGGCTTTATGTTCATGATCACTCCTTAACCCTTTCTATGCTGCTAATAATTCATATTTCGTAAGACTTTTTGGTTTGCCTATTTTAGTTGTCACTATTTTAATAATTAGGCTAATTTTGAATAATAAGACAGTAAGACAATGTATAACAAAGATAAGTTCTGGTATTTGTAGTAAACATTAAATAAAACTTAATTTTTGTTGTAAATTTCCAAGGTTTCTTATAAATTGTAATGTTCTGGTAGCATTGTTTGAAACCAAAATCTCATAAAATCAAATGACATCCTGTTTACAATGCAATATTGAATTTAACCTTGATTTAGTTGGATAAGGTTATCGTAATATAGCCATTTTAGGGAAAATAATCTTTTGCAACAAAACGTCAGTAACACAATTTATGATCACTATTGTGGTTTGACTGAAAAATATCATCTAAATAGTCCGAGACTAACTAGTGCTGCTACCGTACCTAGTAATGCATTAAACAACCTGCTGTAGCGCTATCTGTTTGCAATCGTTGGCGTCAGCTTAAATACCGGTTTTTGACTCCTCATCCTTCAAGCACAGATAGCCGAGAAGGCTAGGGCTTGTGTCACTTGGCCAGTGGCATTTGTCTGCTCGGGTTCGATTCCCTTCCTGTGTGGCAAGTAATTGGTGACCTGTGTGTTTGTGGTGATATACTACAACCACTGGGGCATAGTGAGGTGTTCATATCCTTGGTTTAGACATACACCTCGAATCATTGGATTGGGCAAATCGTTTAGCTAATTGGTTGTTAGTGTATCCTATGAACATGCAGGTCACCAATGGCCGTTTTGCTACTTTTTGTTAAAATAACCTTTCTCTCTATATCCCTTAGAGATTAAAAAAAACAACGATATATCGTTGCACAGCACTTAGGGGGTTAATTATAGTTTCAGATTCAGATTCAGATTCAGATTCACTTTACTCAAGATTTACATTATACAAATATAAATGAAGAATGGCGTCAATAAATACAATTAATTCTATAAAATATTATCAAAATGCTCACTAAATGAGTAGTAACATTTGCTTATTATACATATTTTCAATTTTTTTTTTATGTTTTAATATTATTGATTTCCATTATATTTTTAGGCAGAGAATAAAAAACCTAGTACCTGCAGCGGTGGGTTTTTTATCATAAAACTCTAAATTATGCCTCTGGATGGCTGGGGCGAGTATTAGAATTATGTGTCATAATTATGTGTAAATTATTTGTCAATAATGTTTAGCCGATTGGTTTTCTCCTAAGTTTAACATGATACGTATGGCTCTCTTTTGTAAAATTAATATACTATCTAAATTTTGAATGGTTGTTGCACCATATAATTCAATGACGAATGCAATATGTGAGTTTATGTGAGCATAGTAAACCTTCAGTAAAACATTCAACGAACAGAGTTTAGACAAGTTGTGCAGCATAAATAGACCTGAACAAATTTTGCTTTTTAGTTTATCAATGTGGTACAACCAAGATAAATTTTGATCAATTATTAGTCCTAAGAATTTAGTTTGAGTCACTTGAGTTAAGTAATTGTTATCAATTTTTAAATGAGGTTTTAAAGGTTTTTTTGGGCAGTTTAAAAATTTATGTAATTGGTTTTCTCTGAGTTAAGCAATACGTTTTTGCAAGATAAATATTCGTATACAGATTCAAGGCTACTATTGCCTATATATTCAATGTCATTTTTTGATCTACCAGAAACTATTAAATTTGCATCATCAGCATAGAGGCATAATTTACTGTTTAAGTTTGTTAGAGCTGAAGGCAGGCCTTTTATATAACAGTGGAATAAAATTGGACCAAGAGTATACCCCTGAGGGACTCCATATGTGACTTGTTTTAGAGATGATTTGACTTTAAGTAATTGATTGAATTCTGTAATCATATTTAGTTCAACATATTGCTGCCTGTTTTCTAAATATGATTTAAACCAATTTAGTGAATTACCAGTAATACCCAAATGTTGTAATGTTGAAATAAGTGTCTGATTTGAAACGCTATCAAAAGCTTTACTAAGGTCCATGAAAATTCCAACAGAGTTGTCAATAGCATCAATAAGAGTCTCAACTAGATCAATACCAGCAGTTGTTACAGATTTTCCAGACCTAAAACCATGTTGTTCTTCGTCAAATAATTGATTATTTTCCAAAAAACTTACCAATCGGGAGTGTAGAGCTTAGATATAGTGGGCAATATTGATAAAGGCCTGTAATTTGATGGTACTGTTTTTCCCCATTTTTATGTAATGAATGGGGTAAAACAATTTTGGCTCATTGAATTGTTAACTCTGGTAGTTACAATTTCATCTTATTTCAGATATACCGGCTCTGGTGTCACGCAAACACGTTGATAAATTCCAAGAAAGAGCCTTTCAAGAGTTGAGAAGTTATGTGCAGAGACACTATAGTGATGATGAGGACCGCTTTCCCCGCCTCTTGTTGCGGCTTCCCCCGCTCAGAGCTCTGCAGCCTCATGTAATGGAGGAACTGTTCTTTGCAGGGCTAACAGGGGGTGTAACTATAGACACCATCATCCCCTATATTCTCCGAATGGACTCATCAGACTTCTCTCAGAGGGTCATATCAGAGTTTTCATAATAGTAGCACTTTTCCTGAATCAATAGTATTGATTTAAATTAATCAAAATGTAAATGTACATTAGTATTTTGTTTGAACCTATCAGGTTTATAAAGTATATAAATATAATTTGGTATATTTATTTTGATAGTAAATATTTGTTTTGTTATAGTGATTTTTGATTGTTTAAGTAAAAATTTATTTTAATGTTGTTATTAGGTGTAAATATTTATTAGAGGCTGTGTAAAACAGTCAAGGCCAAGTCTTACTCAATTCTGCTCCTTTTCACATTTTTCTTCATTTATTTCCCTTTTTAATTTGCATTTACATGACTTACAACCGTCATTTACACAGAGTTGAGTGTGACTTGGCCTTGGGCTCTTGTGTGTGCACTTGGAGCAAAGCATAACCAATTTACTGTTGGTTTTTTCCTTATCTAGGAATAAAGTTTGTAATGCCTGTAAATACTAAAAAAGTTTTGTGGGTTTGGGGGTTTTTAAATAATTAGACAATAACCTATGTAGACAGTACGTTTTTAGCTATGATTCAATCATATATATAAAATACTTTTAAAAATATAATATTTTAACAAGAATAGGCCTATAATTACATTTTAGCACTCAAGTATTTTTGTTTCTTTGTCTTACAGTATTAAAGCTCCAATGAACTCAAAAACTTCCTTTATCCTTAAAGTTGTCTTAATATGAGAACGTATAACTTATTAATTTCTAAAACTTTGTTGTGTACAAAATGTACTCTTCATGTACACATGTGTTTTGTTCATTATTTAAATAACTTTAAGGTAATTTTACTATAATTAATAATTTGAGATTCTCTGATCGTCTTATGATGCAGTTTTGTAATGCTGAAACGTGTCACATACAGGGTGTCACAAAGATGCGTAGCATACAGAGTTAAAATGGAAATCTATTTGTTTAATAATCTCGCCAATGGTCACTCGGATTACAAATATGTTTTAGTATCCAGTCCATACGCGCTGCACTAATCACAGCGAAAGTTGGTTGCTTGAATGCTTTATTCCACCCGGCGGCTATCTTCTTCAGCAGACCACAAACTTTTGAACTTGTTTATATGAGGCTATTTTGGTCCGGTTCCCACACGAAAATGAGTTTAACGCTTAAATTGTTTGTTTATATTACTCAAACCAAATTTCCTTGCGTCTTTGAGGCGGATTACCAGCTTAATGCGGGTGATCTGTGGGTTTACCTAGAAAAAAAAAACATCACCGAAGCTCTAAGGTGGGTTAGCCCTAACTCAAGATTGGACGTTGTCAGAGAGATGTAACTAAAGAGTTATGTAAAAGATTTATATTATGCATTTACTGACTAGCTAACTCGCATTCTACACTTATTTACCATCAAACTCAATAGTGTAATACGCCTACCACAAACTGTTATGGTTACAACCTGAAATCTGGGTTAGAGATTGTAGGCCACGCCAATAAAGTCTGGTCCTATCAGACCCCTCGAAGTAACCTTACAACCTTCCAATAACCTTACAATTTAAAGAAATTGCAAAACAGTTACGGAATAGTGAGCTTTTAAATTTATATTGTCTAATGGCCAACAACTCATTTTAAAATATTTAACCAACTGAAAAATCTTTCTGCTGATACCAATCAATCATCATGCAGTTCATATTTAAAATTATGTGTTAGTTTCTTACTTACTATGTAAAATCTCACTAACTCGACACTCGACAGCTGACAGTAATTTTTTCAGATAATTTAGTTTTAATTGTTGAATATTCAACGTTTCTTTGAGGATTGTTCACTCAATATGTAAAATACTCATGCAAGTAATAAATGTATATGTCAAATTATTCTGTTATGTATTCACTTATCAAAACCCATTAAAAATTTCAATGTTCTTGGGATAACTCGACAACCTCTGGGTCTACAAATTGTTGAGTTAGTGAGGTTATATCAATGGTTAAAAGGAATTGCATCACTATCTTGGGATATAGGCAACAGAAGAAAAAAATACATTTCGTTTGAATACCAAATTTTGTTTTAAACTGGTAAGAAATATTTGATACAATTATGATGGATTAAACTAACGAAACTTGTTAACTTTAATATTAGTTTATGAAGTACTCATGCGTAAAATTATCCAAATCCAAACCTCTCAATATCCGATCCGATTTAAAACAAGCATTAACTATCGGAATTGAAATTTCACTATCCTCACACCTTTAGTTACAAGACGTATTTGAGACGCATTTTCACCTTTGGTAGAAATCCTCCAAAATCCTGCCAAATTTAAGTTGGATGTTTTTAACTTAGTTGATGACATTTTATGTTCAAGTGTTAGCAAAAGTCACTCAGATCAATCGTTTAAAATGTTTACAAATTTTAATTTTGTTTTGAAAAGTCATAAACCGCAGTTGATGAGACTATGGATAATTTTTTAAAGAAATATTTTAAAAAGTCTTTAAAGCTCCAATGTACTGCTTGAAACCAAACCCAAGCTAAAGTGAGTTATTACCTACCTCTCGTGTAAAGCATCAAATCACATGTTTGTGGATTATTACGTTACTAGTCCGGAAAAAAAGTGTTTACCGGACAAGTGTGGTCGTTCCTGTGCAAGACGAAGTCGAGTACGGGATTACTATACGAGTCCGGTAAACGCATTTTGGACGAGTAACGTAGGATAGTTTACGCCATACTACTGAATCTGTTCAATTCCTTTTATATAACTACCAAATAAGGGACTAACAATCACTAGTCACCTCTAAGAGAACCTAAGAGAACCTAGAAACCTCTAAGAGAGGTTATGATTTTGTTTATAACCATTCATTGCCAAATACATTATAATCAGCTGGTTGGTGTCCGGTAACACTCATTACAGTACAGTAGTACGTAATGAAGCCCCATTTGATTAAGCTGAAGGCAAACAGCTGTTTTCTGTACTAAATCCTTGCGTGGGAAGTTCGTCAAAACAGTGTAGTGTGGCGTAAAATAAATTAACATTAACTAGGCTTTACTCTGTTTCATTACACTTACAATACATTGCAGTAGGCTATGATTAGTTGCTATTGTGTTGTGTTTTGTATAAGCAGATCTCTCATTAGTGGTTTAATATAAAGAAATGGTAACTCTTCAAAACTGGACTCAGTGGCCATTTATTATTGGTATGTATTTAAATAATTCATCCTTACCAAAGAATCAGTTATAGTCAAAATCAAATACAAGGCTTCTTTATTCCACAATATAGTGGGACATAGTGATGGTCAAAACCAGAAATTTTGAATCTCTAAACCAAAACCGAAACGCGAAACCTTTTTACTTGGCTGATTACAAAGGTTAAGGTTACAGAAAAAATACAGGTAATAATAAAGTTTTAAGTATGAAATCAAAAATGAAAGGGGACTCCTGACACTGACATACAAATTGTTACTGATAAACCCACACCAACATAATTTTTTCTTAAATTAAAATAAATTAAACTTTTGACACCAACATAAACATGAGTATTAGACTAATTAGAACATTTAGTGGCTAATATATCGTTATGAAACTGAGTTGTTCCAGTTATAGTATTTAAGATGCCTTTCTAAGTTCAGAATGCAATTTACTGCGTTTGCTCTATTGCTACCGGTACCAGCTAGTGTGGAAACAGTGTTAAATAATTTATAAATAAAATTTTTTTTTAAACAAAACGTTTTTAAACGCACTAAAAAGTAGAATATAATTTATAAATATGTGGAGAGTATAAATACTTGTAAGATTTAAAACGAAAAACGTAGTGTGCATGCAATAGAAAATTTACAATTACCTTCACCTATTGAACTAATGTATTATTATCAATTGCATACACCTCACGTTTTTTCGTTTTTAATCTTACAAGTATTTATACTCTCCAGATATTTATAAATTATATTTTACTTTTTAGTGTGTTTAGAAACGTTTTGTTTTAAAAAAGTTTTTTATTTATAAATTATTTTCACCTTTTTAGTTTTTAATGTGTGTGGATGTTAAATCTATTTCAAGCATCTATATCAGATTAAGACAGATGCATGTGGGAAATCTAAGGTTTATTTGAGTTTCTTTTCATATAATTATGTATCAGATTGGATGTATGGCCTACCTACTAACTATAAATATATCAATCTATTTAATTTATTGTTTACATTATAGAATACTAAATACAATTGACATTATTAACAAACACCTTTATATCTGCAATCAGATTGTTTTTCTTTATTTTGAAATGTTTGTATAAAGAATCTCTTGGAAGCATAACCTGTACCTCTTAACCTCTGCTCTTCGAACTGTCAAATTTAAGTATTTACAGCTTAATTAAATTAATTGATATATTTACATTCTTTCAAAATGTAAACATGGAAAATTTGGAACCCCATTGGGCATAGCCCAAGGGAAATATGAAAATTAAATGATATGATATTTCATTGTCTTCCATTTGTGAGCGATGTTTCAAGTCTCTATAGCTCCTCGGGAAGTTAGTATAAAATTGATTGCAAAATTTGTACCGGACAAGAAAGCGAGCAAATAAAAACGTTTTAAAATAATAATAATGATGCAAAAAATGCCAGTAGATTCAAGAATAAAATTGCCAATATCTTCAATTTTGAAACTTTTGAATCTCGAAACCGAAACTTTTCCTAAGTTTTGATGGTTTTGAGATTTGAGATTCGGTTTTGACACATCACTAGTGGGACATATTCACAACTGACTGTTCACACATTGATGACACAGTCATTCAGTCCACGACTAACTATTTTAGTCTGAAGTAAGAAAAATAAGGATATATTTCTTAATGCATTGTTTTAAAGTCAGATAGTAAATATAATTTGTTTGTATTTTATTTGTTTTTTTCATGTAGGATACAATCCACAGATAAAAAACACTATTGAGTAAGCACTTAATAATTGTTAGTAAAAAAAAACATCACATGTTTATAATATTAATTACTTTGTTATTTTTATGATGATCAAACACCAAATAGTGTGAATCAAAGATGTTATTGTGCACCATATATTTGTAAATAGTTTTTTTTTTAGTTATGATTGTAAACAACTGTATCACTTCTTCAAGACACCAGTACACTTTGTAAATACTGTCACGCAGCATGATCTATTTTTAACGAGAAAGTTTACTGTAAGGTAGATTTCTGACTACCAAAAGTAAAGTTTGTATGTCTTTAATGTTGTAGGTTTCCGTTATGCCTTATTATATAGGGATTGTATTTTATAGTTTAAATATTTGAAAGAATATAGTGAATTTGTACATATTATTGCCAGTTCTAATTTCAGTTCCTTTTTCATTTTAAAAGTTATTCTCAAAAGAGTTGAATAACAATTTCCACATTCGGCTTGTTAAACAAACTTCTTATACTGTACGCGAGGGTAAAGAAGTCCCTTGAGCCAGAGAGATACGCAGCTATGTTTGGAGGGTATCGCGCACTATTTTCAGGCGCTAAGCATCTGGGCGCCTCGCCTCGATGTCTGTCTGTAAACAACTGTTGTAAACATAATTACTCATATCTTTGTTTTGGTAAGTAGATTATCATTATGTGGTCATGTCATTTGATTCATTGCAGTCTCGTGTGTTCGCGTAGTGAGTTCGTTTTGTTTGGACGGTCCTTGTAGCTATGGATTTAAGAAAACGTCATGCTACTATACATAGTGGAGAGAGGGATTTAATTAGACGGGTGATAAAGTGTTGTGACAACGAATGTAATAATAATAATATATAATATGTAATATAATATTAGACTATAAGAAGAATGACGAAGCACCTGTGCATTTATCTAAAACCTCTGTACGTTTGTGTGCTAATAAACATGATTTGATGATGATTTGTAAAGACAAAAATTTATTAGTGCCGATAGGCAACAGAACATGCCGCAAACTATTGTAAAGTTCCAGAAAAAAACTATTAAACAAATTAGAAAAGCCGGCAAACAAACTCCGGATGAAAAACTCTGTACACTCGGGAAAAAACGCAAGAATGCTGACCACCATAAAGTACAAATAGATAGCGTTGATAGGCGTGTAACTGTAGATGTAATACGTGATTTTTACAAGAACAAACAAATTTTCCTTACATCTAAAAAACTATTACCTGTTTTGAGAGAAAGAATTAATTTCAAATGGAGCGAATGGACACTTCGGCGTCTCTTAAAAGATATGGGGTTCAAGTGGAAGAAATTTGGTCCTAAAAGAAAATGTTTTATTGAAAGGCCTAACATCGTTAATTGGAGGTTGAGAATCTTTTTGGTGGCTTCTACAGATGTATTTTTAAATAGGTAGCCTAAAATCAGTTACAAAACTTTTACTCTCCAATCATCCTAATTTGATAGAAGCTATCAAACCTCCTTTGTCTAATTGGAGGTTGAAGTATTTGCAAGGGATAAGAAAGCTAAGGGAACAAAAAAGGAAAATTTCTATCTGGACGAAACTTGGATGGACAGTAATTTAACGTTCCAGAAATGTTGGCAAAGTATAGACGTCAATGGCGTGTTACCTGATATGAGCGTGTCAAACCGCGTGATTGTCGTAGATATTGGGTCTAACGAAGGGTTTTTGCTCGTTTTCTTGATTTTTTAACTTAGGTTTATGGTAATAGGATTAATAACTTTAATAGTAAGTTGTTTATTGCGATGTATGCTATTGAAACTGCTGTACTCGTGTACTTATATTATGTACCGGTAATATGCATTCACCATAAGTATATTCATGGATCAACTAATTATTTGGGATTAATGCTTTCAAACTCGGATTTAAAAAGGATTTTATTGTATTGTATTTTATTGGTATTGTTACATTTAACCAAACAAAAATCATAAAGTAGGAACTAGGAAGGTTATTAATTTGCCTTAGTAACACTAGAAAATAGGTTTCCTTTGATTGTATGACTATGCAAAAAAATATTATGACATAGATTTATAAAAATCATACAGATATTAAATACAAAAATTAAGCCTTAAAACTAGCAGAGCAGCGTCAAGACGGCTCTACAGTAATTGTCGCGCGAAACGTTCAAGCGTAACGCCTTCAAACTACGAATAGGCTGGAGCTCAGGGGACTTCTTTACTCTCGCGGACAGTATCTTATTTCAGAAGATAAAAATGATTCCATGCTATAATGGCGAACTCAATCAATTTTTCTAAGAGTTTCTTTTTAAATTGTTGATATCCAATGACTTGTCTGGTGAAGATTATTAAAGAGATAATTTGTGAGTTTTTTGCAGTTTCCAAATAAAGCAATGTTGTTTTAAGTAATAAATGCCAAATGTTAAATATAAAGAGCAGGCAGAGTCAAAAGTTTGATTTTGAAAACTGGATCTACATTATTTCTTGAGCTGATGCCAGCAATAACTTTAATGGCCTTTTGTGCTATTTACTAGAAGTTGAATTTTCCCAGCACACAAACTGTAAGATATACTGTAATAGGTAAAAACTATCCATGGTATACTAATACCTCTGTTTTTTATAGAAACATTTTCTAATAAAATAGATTAATAAAATGGCTTTAACAAAATTTATCACATGATCAGTGATCACAGTTACCCATTGCATTTTTAATCATCTTGAATTGTCCCAAAAACCTACTGATTTACAGAAAGAAAGTATAGTTGGTTTCGTGAGCTGAAAAATTATTTCTTTAGAATTGTTGAAAGTGGAAAATTGTAATATTTTATTTTTACTCATGATTCAAGTATTCTTGCTCAACCAGTTTTGAACAGAGGAAGTGATTTTAAGTGTCAATTTGTATTTGTCTTTACCTTTTACTATTGTTGTGGTGTAATCTGCAAATGAAATTAAATTGGAATTTACAGTTGAAAACCAATGGTTGATATAAAATAAGAAAAAGAATGGCTAACCTTTGAACCCTAGGAAACCCCAAAATGTACTTGATTCCAATTATAAAAAATTGGATCAAGTGAATGAAAAATTCTAGTTTTTACTTAGACTTTATACCTCAAGAAAGGTTTGAACGAATAATCGGTAGTAACTGGCTTACATGGTCACTCTCAATAATTTTAAGGTTCAGCAGAAAATCAAATCAAATCATGTTTAACGTACAGAGTTTACAGGTAAATATGTACACAGCCTGTTCAGGTGTTTCGTGTTTGTCGTAGTGTTATTGTTATTATTACAACACATTATCTTTTGTCTGTTATCTGCTTTTAGGTGAATCCAAATTGTATGTATGTGTTTGTGTAACGTGTGAATATACTATGGGAAAGCGTATCCATAAAACGCTAAGCTGCGAGGATAAACTACCTATTCAAGAGGGTTTGGAGCTTTTCATAGGAAAAAATCACCAATACTAATATTAAACTGGAACTGGTGGATGAGATATTTTTAATTTGTCTGTTTTTTTTTCAATCCATACTCGTACCTATAGATTGACATATGAAAAAAGATTATTGCCTACAACTTTGCATCTAATAGAGGGGTTCCTGGGAAAATTAAGTGTTTTGTACCTTTATAAATCAAAGTATTTAAAGATGTACAGAACCGTACCTTTCAGGGTGTCCACCAGGCCAACCAGAAAAAATTCATGAGTAAAAAAAAATATTCCAGGTAGTTCTGGTCGTACTTTTTATACTAAAATTTTCAACATGTTTTGCGCCAACTCCGGCAATGCTGTTTTAGCGCTAACACAGCTCGCTATTTAGTTATCGGAGAGAGCATTCTCAGGTAAAGAAACAAAATTTATGATTGCTGTAATATTGCCTGACACAAATATTCAATTTATATATATTACAGATTAAATCATCCGGAAAATTAAAAACTAATCCTAAACCGTGGTCGTGACAAAATCCTGATATTGTTCAGCAGTAACGGAAACAATATAATTGTCTCCCGCGATCACAGTAAAGTTATCATCCTCTTTCTCGATTGTAGCTTAATTCAAATAATTTCCAGAGGTCATCATCGTCAAGATTATTTTTTAGACATCATCATCGTTTCCTGCGGTCACGGAAACGTCATTGTCCGCATGCGCGATCGCGGCAAAATCACTAACATATCCTGCGTCCGTTTGGACATCATCATCGTCACGGAAATGCCATCGTCGTCTCCCGCGGTCACGGAAATGCCATCGTCGTCTCCCGCGGTCACGGAAACGTCATCTTCATGCGCGATTGCGGCAAATTGAAAATTCCCGGTAAAATACAAAATTCACGCATAATTCCCGGTTTTTTCCCGGTCCAAAAAAATCACGCATAATTCCCGGTCGGTGGACACCCTGTTAATAATTACAAGTCTAATCTTGATATTTCAAGATACTTGATAAGTTAAAACTATAGTTTAAAATCGTTTGATGTTATATTGCAGTCATCTCCAGAGATAGCAACAAAATTGTATTCATTTTCATTAATTTACGACACCTTTCTACATATCATGTGTCTTAATAACTTGCTTTGTTTGACATCGATATATTTGTGATTTGTATGAAACAACTGAAAAATTACCTGGTTGAATTTGGAGCAAAATATTACAGGACATTTTTAGGGACAAATTTAAGACCTAAAATTGTACCTATTTATTTTACAACGGCAGCTATTAACTATTTTACAAATCTAGGATCTTGAACCCAAGAAGCACTATAAAAAATTATAAGGCAAGATACAGAACCAATTGTAGCATCATAGAGCTGTTAGTCTACAATAATTTTCACGTCAATGTTTCCTTTCAGCCACGAGTTTACGATAAGAGACTATTCATTGTTGAAACAATCTTGAAGAGTGTGTGTTCAAAACAAAAAAATTTGTATTTTTCTGTAAAACATTACTTAATAAGAATCAAAGAAAGTCAGGTTTGATTGGAAACGGCTTATTGCCTGAGAATTAAGGAGACAAAGGACAGGACAAGCAGGCCTGCCTTAAAAACTGTATGCACTCCACTTCGCTAATATAACACAATAGAAAACACTGAATATTTCAAGGCCACTGGCCTCAAAATATTCAGTGTTTTCTATTGTGTTACTTTAGTGAAGTGGGATGCCTACAGATTTTTAGGTAAGCCTGCTTGTCTTGTCCTTTGTCTCCTTAATTTATAAGGAATGTCAAATATGAATTCTAAGAAGGAAAATACAACAAGTAAGCAACCAAAGTTAGGATTATGCTCTGAGCTTTGATGACAACTGTAAGAATTATAGAAACATGCAAGCTTGGATAAAAAAAACAACACCATTTAAGAAACAGTAAAGTTATACTTATACAACTTAACTTGATACAAAACAGTTTTTACAAAAGAATTTGGTTACTTTCACCATATGCTTTGGTCAAAGATAAAGCCAGCTCAGGTGGACAACACGTTAACTATTTAATCAAATTATAAAATAAAACCAAAGACAAATGTGACATTTTCAGTTTTCTTAAATGTCACTTTTAACAATCAGTTGACATTGGCATTGCTGTTACTTTTAACCTTCAATTGGTAAAAATCATACCTTGACATTTGTCAACAGCTGAACTTAACCTACCTATAACAAATAAGTCAAGTATTCACTTATTTTAAGTAAGAATAATCAAAATTAGAAAATCCTTATAGAGTACATTTGTGAGTCCCACAAACAATATCCTATATTTAAATTAGTTTAAACATAAGTAATGAATATCAACTTGGAACAAACAACAACATAAAAACACTGACCAGAAAACACATAAAGCATTAACACCAATGTGACAAAATAAAAGTTTATCCTCTAGGTCAATTGTCATCATTTAGAATGAAAAACGAAAAACAAAGTTTCAACTTTATGCTGAATACACAGTGAAATTATTTTTTATTTACGCAGACTTAGAGGGTGAGAAATTATTCACACACTAAGCATAAGAAATACAGAAATCACCAGTGTCGTCAGATTTCATAGAGAAGTTATTCTCATTAGCAAGACTCAGTACAGCCAGAAAAGCCATTTGCATTGTGAGGTCCTGTCTGGTTCTACGATGGAGCGCCTCGGAATTGTACAATTCCTGTAAAACTTCTTTGAACATGACAGATCCTCGAGGGCTTTCTTCATTGTTGATTCTCAGTTCATTTTCCTGTATACACAAACAAATTTTATTATTTTTTGTAGGCCTTAGATATATCTTTTAAGCAGAACAGATTATACTTCTGAGTTGTTTCATTGTATCGGCTATTTTTGGTAAGATTCTAAGTGCAATGGATTTTACATAGCTCATGTGTGAGATGGTCTCAATACAGTAGAACATTCTAATACCCCCGCTGCAGCAAACTTTCAGACTAACAAATTTACATTTACCTGGCTGGATTTCTACTAAAATATTCTCTTAAATTGTAAGATTTATTTGCTAATTAAATAAACATTAATTTGTATGAGTGCTTGGGTTTGCTGCTACAGGGAAGGTAATAAGCTGTGTTTTTTTTTATATAAATCTTCATAGCTTAGTATGAAATAAACAAATCTGTTGCCTTGCCATATAAATAGTTTGCATCAAGATACGAACACTGAGACATGGCCTAGCCATATAAATTCTTTGCATCAAGATACATACACTGAAACATGGCCTTTCCATATACATTCTTTGTATCAAGATACAAACACTGAGACATTGCCTTGCCATATCAATTTTTTTGCACCAAGATACAAACACCGTAACATGGCCTTGCCATATAAATTATTTTCATCAAGATACAGACACCGAAACATGGCCTTGCCATGTAAATTCTTTGCATCAAGATACAAACACCGAGACATGGCCTTGCCATATAAATTGTTTGCATCAAGCAAGATACAAACACTGAGACATGGCCTTGCCATATAAATTCTTTGCATCAAAATACAAACACTGAGACATGGCCTTTCCATATAAATTCTTTGCATCAAGATACAAACACTGAGACATTGCCTTGCCATTTAGATTCTTTTATTTTACTTCTAGTTTACTTTATGAACTTTGTTAATATCTACCTTAAAAACAAAGTAGAATAAAAACTTGTAAATATTTCTGAACATAAAAATTAGATATTAATTTTTTTATAACTTTCCATTAAATCTCGTCCCGAAAAAAAATCCTGTCCCCTGGGAATTAAAAAAATCTTGTCTCGACTCAAAGTGAAAATCATCTCGTCCATGAGTTACTAATCCAAACTACTTAATGGTTTTTATGGAAGTCTTTCAATTATTTCCTATGAGTACATTTTTTTACCTTTACTACCAGATCCGGTATAAGGTCTCAAATAGAGCCACTTACCACTTTTATTTTACCTCTTGCAGGCACATTTGGGATTTTTTTCTTTTTCCCAGCAGGTTTTTTTCTTTCTTATTTGTTTTTTAATTTTTGAAGTCTGCCCTTTTCCCACACCACATTTTGCTTTTAGTTTTCATTATATTAGTAACTGCCCAGGCGGCAGCTCTCTCACCAATACTAGAGTCTGAAGCTTTTACCCTTTCCCAAGCTAATAAGCTGTCAGCCACTGATCTAATTTTACTAACCTTCGATCTTGAGTATGCTTTGTCGTGGTTTTTGCATGCAGCATCCAATTTATTCATGCCTGGATTACCCCTTGCCCCTTGGATTATCCTTAAATTCGCTCCAGGTCTACAGTACTGATAGCCGGGTGTGTGAAGTTCTACAGGTAAAATACCCTGTGTCTGTGTACAAGAAGATTATCTTTGTCCATACAGGGTCAATAAAAAGTCAAGACTCCCCCATCTAATATTTTTCTAAGTTAGAACACAGTTAGGACACAGATAGTCTTCTTGTACACAGACACAGGGTATTTTACCTGTAGAACTTCACATACACGGCTATCAGTACCGTGGACCTGGAACGAATTTAAGGAAGAGATTAGCAAGAGGTGATCCAGGCATAAATAAATTGGACGTTGCATGCAAAAACAACGATATAGCATACTCCAGATCGAACTATAGTAAAATATACACAGATTTTTTTGACTTGCTAAGACTTTTTCCTTGTGGTCTAGCAAACTTAGCACAAAGTTTCATTTTATAATTTCAAAAATGTTTAGTGTCCCCCAAAAATGAGGGATTTTGGGCTCACCTGGACATTATTCTATATATAAGTTAAGATTTTATATTAACCTTTAAACATTACAAATTTAATTTTAAACAGTATGATTAAATTTGCTTTAAGTTAATATTACATTTTTTTAGCCCACCCTTATGACAGTGTGTATCTGGATCAGATCCGGATCCAAATTTTTCATGATCCGGATCCGGTACCGATATTTTCTTGGATCCGCCCATCACTAATATATATATCAACAGAGAAAAACAATGATAACATTTTTCCAAAATTGCTTCGTAAACCAATATCCCTCATTTTGTAGTTTTTATTTTTACATAAACATTTTTATTTTTGTCTTAAGATTGTTCAAACCAATCTTTATGAAACTTGGGATGTATGTTAAGGTAGGAAAGACCTATGTTTGAAAAAAAATAACTTGGTCCAATTCAAAATGGTAATTATTTAAATGATTATAATTTAAATTAGTAAAAGATGGCTGATTTATGAAAAAATCTTAGAAACATTTTTATTTGTAATTTTCAATTCTTTATCAAATGACAACAAGTTCAAAAGGATAAAATAAAATAATGAATAAATAAATAAAATCATCTTATTAATAGCCAGCGTTTCTCTGATACACATCACTTTTTCAGAACAACTTTTGTCATTTAACTACTGGCATACGATTGAATAAAAAATATTACAAAAACTAAAATATCACAATTTTTTATTTGTAAAATGAGGTGCAATGAGGTGGCACACTTACCCTTATTCTACCTCATTTTCCAAATAAAAATTGGGTACTTTGGTATTATACCGTCCACATCGACAAATCTACTTCCAAATAAGTTTTTTTATGTTTTAATAACAAAATCTTCCTAACCTAACCTAAAACAATGTCCACCTAAACCATAGATTAAGTTTGGTTTTAATTATTAGGTGAGGTTGGTATAATACCAAAGTACCAACAATTATGATATTTCAGTTATTTGTTATTCAAAATCTTGTTGAAATTGGTGTCATTTGATAGGGAATTGTAAGTGCTAAAATAAAAATGTGTTTGAAATATTTTTATCTCTTAGTCATTTAAATTAAAAACATTTAAATGGCCACCATCATGAATTGGACCAAGATAATATTTTTTCAAACATTTGTCTTTCCTACCTTAACATACATCCCAAGTTTGTGACGAAGTACTTAGTGACGAATTGGAAATATGAATCTTACCCGGTCTTCTATAGCGCGGCGAATGATTCCCAGCATAACCTGCTTCAAGTGCTGCATATCCACTCGGCTTGGCTTGGCCACAAACCGTAGTGGTTCTACTCTTACCTGTAAAAATAGAAATGGTAATTTTTCATGAACACGGAAATTGTGACTAGGATAACAAATATAGTCAAAGAAGGTATAGAGACTTAAAAACAAATTGCTGAATCTGCAATAAACTTTGACGCCAAAGTTAATAAATGTGCAAAATTAGAGGGAAATTTAGAAATATGTGTCTATCGGGTTTCCATATGTCCATTGAAGAAGCAGATGTTGAAAAATTCCATGAAAAGAACAAAAGAGAAAATATAAGTTCTGCGAGAGGCTCACTCACATTTTATGTTCTCTACAGCAGGTCAATATAGATGGGACGTATAAACAGAATACTACATGTGGAATCTGTACTCACATCGTATAAATTTGTTATTTTCAACTGTTTCTTTACATGCAAAAATAAAAAGCTGTTATGATAATTTGTTGGAGCATTATTTCATTAGATAATTTCTCCAATGATTAAAATAGATTAGATATCAATTTAATGATGGATTTAATTTGTATCTACTACAAATTAAACACGTTATTTGAACATGGTACACATTGGGAGATTGTGTGACTTAGTAGTAGGAATTGAATATACACAATGGCACCACCAGATTTACAATGGTTTAGTGACAACAGGATAATGAAACTTAATTAGTTATAGTAGGTTAAAAATACTCACAGTCCGAACCATTGGGACTAAATTGTCCCCATCATAAACCTCCTGGGGCTGAGCCGACCCGCCTCCATTCTCTTCGGACTGAGCAGGAACAGGTAATGATATATCCTAAAATTAGAATAGATTAGTTCATAGGAAAAAAGTTAAGTGTAAATAAGAACAATACAATAAATAAGTTGACTTTAATAACATGCATAGTGCAGCATGAAATTAAATGAAACTATTTATTAATACAAAATGTTACATTAATAACCACACAATACACAATCGGGGGTGTTGATTGCCTAGAGGTATATCTACAAAATATTTTGGGAGTTTTTACCTAAAAGTAAATGCCACTAATGAGGATCTACTAAACTAATGCATAAATATGTATATTTTATTGAGCACATGGGGGCAACATAAATTGGTCAGTGGAGGGGAGGGTTAAAGAAGGAACCCATTGTTCAAGTTGTGTCGTGAGTACATTGGTTTGCACCTAAGAGTTTTAAGTATAGTGAATGTTTCCATTTAAGTACAAACTAGATTGCAGATTACTGAGAGCAAGGTATGGATGTGAAATTTTGTTTTCTGCAGGGGAAATCATCTGTGCAAACTACTATAACACTCCCCAGTGTAAAACCAGAGTCTATAAGTAGTTTTGCCTTTTTTAAATGGGTTTAAATAGTCCAGTTGAATATATAAAAGTTGGATCCATGATAGTAGAAAGTTGTGTTTTGTTGTAAATTTAATATCTAAAAAGTTAATATTTCAGTAAGATTAACAAGTCTATTTTGTTAAGTACAGTTTTAGTGAATGTTTAAACATACCATGTCCTGATTCCAAGAGAAGAGGAAGATACTAAGTGAAGAGTCAGAGAGGACAAGTTTTAAACACTGATAACAAAGTTCGGGTTTGGACTGGTTTGATAAGGAAACCAAGGAAGTCCATCCAAGGCAAGGGTCACTTCAGGTACCTGATATCAGTCAGCTAATAGCACAAGTTTATCTGTGATTTTAACCTTAACTACTTGGTTTCTCCAGGTTGAAAAATAAATTGAATATATTTTTTTTATAAAATAAATTTAATATTTTTTATTATAAATTTATGAAATAGAATAAACATATTTTATCAAGAAAAGTACAATTATTTATTTAACTTACATCTTACTGCACTGATAATTTCTGTTTTACTTAGTTTATTTTTTATAGTCAACTATTTCATAACCAATAATAAGCTGTAGTGATGCCATTTTGTATTTATACATATACAGTATAACCTCGATTTTCCAGGGTAAAGGGGGGGGGGGGAGGGAGACGACGGATAATCCAACATGCCATAAACATGTATTACAAACCCATAAAACCCCTAATATTATATAAATGGACGTTAATGTGATGATTAATTTGCATTTTACATCATCAAAATACAGTTGGTATTGTGCAATAGTGATATGTTAAGTCATTGACCTTGGTTCAGTAATAAAAATGCACTGTGTGCTTACTCAAACAAAACAAAAATTTCTGGACACTGAACAGCAATAAATCATGTAAAGAACACAATAAAACCACTGCCACAGCAAACCTGCAGACTAAGCGAATTTCCAAAGTGAGTTTTTTTAGTAAAATATCAATAGCCTAGTATAAAATAAATAAATTGGCCAGGTTTGATCAACATGTACACAGAAATAAGAAAATTACAACAGTTTACTAATTCTCCATAAAAACAAAACAGGAATAATTTTATTTTTATTTTTGGGATTTTTTACGTAATTGATAACCAGACAAAAACTATTATACTGAATTATTTGTTTTTTAAGCTCTTTAAAATGGTTTGAAGAGAAATTAATATATATAAAATATGACAGTTTAAAAACCAGGTTATTTAATGAAAGTCATGTAAATCATGGGAACTAAGTTTTGAGTATTTGTTGTGTCTGTGAATAAAACCGTTTAAATATCCAGGTTGTACATGAAGAAACAGTTTGGCCTAATATTTTATTATTTATTTTGCATAAAACATTATATTTAAGTAGGCTACACATCATATGGCTTACAACACTGACTGTCATTCTCAGTCCAACAGCTGTTTTGTTTTGGTTGGATAATATTTTTTATGCTGCTCCTGTGGGTCAGTTTTTGCACTAATGACTTACACCACTATCATACTGAACATATGAACTAAAAAGGAGCCCAATTTTGTAGTATAGAACTCAGATTTGAAAATGTTGACTTAGGTACGCCACTTCATTCTAGGCAGATCATCATACATATTAAAACATGACAGGGTTATTTTATTTCACAATTCTTAATCAACCACTTGACGGATTTTCCTGATTTTGGTGTTGAAAGAAAGATAAATTTGAATGAAGGGGAATGTTGAAGTCATAATTTTAGTTCAGGGTTACAGTTTTTTAGATGTCAAGTTATTATTTTTGAAATATGAAAGAATGAAATAATGATTTATTCCACCATAATTACATAAAATACAAATAAAATAAAAACTCGGAATTACGTTGCCACAGCATCCAGTTAATGTGACAATGTTCAATAAAAAATAAAAAGTACATTCTATAAATTTTCAGTCCAGTCCACACATGAAAAACACCTTGCCGCTCTCTGTGGCGTCTTGATGACAGTTAAAATAACAATATTATAACAATAATAGATATTCACAATAAAAATATATTAAAAAATGAATCCTATATAAGCAGTGTAAAATAATGTAAATCAACAATTTAAAACAATGTATGCACATTCAATAATTACAATACAAAACGTTAAATTTGCAAAGATTTATATAAAAAATTCTTTATGTTACAACACTATTTAAAAATTCTATATTTGGCTTCTCAAATAACAACTTTTTTATTTGAATGGAAAATGACTTTAAATTTGCACTGCTTTTGATATTGTGAGGTAATTGGTAGAAATATTTTGGCCCACTGTACTAAGATTGTCTAAATACTGATTTGTTTACTTTGGGTAATCTAAATAATCTTTAACTCTTGCTTCTTGTGTTATATGAAAGATTGTTTGTTCCACTATTCCCACTTCAAATATAAAAAAGTCTTAATACTTTATAAACGAACAGGTGTTGAATTGGAAGTATTTTTAAAAGGACAAATAATCTCTCTTACCACTATTTGTAATATAATCCACTTGCTAGGGGGGTAGCCGTGTGCATTTTATGTATAGAAAAACACCCTAAGGGATCATGTAGGTACTATGTGGGTTATCATTTTTCACGTGGGTGCCAGCTTGGCAGAGTGGGCATAACCTCAGAATCCATAATTTTAAAAATGGCGGCGGCATTTATTTCTTACATGAAACTCATCGGGAGCTTATATCTCGAAAACGGTAATATATAGCGAGTTACTTTTACTACAATAAATGTTGCTTACACAATAAGGAACAACTTTTGTATTTACAAAAATGCCCTAAATATAACTATTTAGGAGTAGTTGAGCAATTTATGCTAATGTAACCTATAAATTTTTACTCTGTTTGACAAAAACATTCTAATATCTTTGAAAAAAAAAAACTGTTCTTTTTAATTTGGCACATAGCATTAATTGCTCTTTACATGTAAGGTCTAAATACCCCCACTGCAGCAAACCTGCAGAATTAGCAAACATTCACCTGGCTGCATTTCTACTAAAATATTAAAAATTTTCATATTTAACCTATACATTTTATCTTTGTTGCCAAAAAATCTAATAATTATAAAAAAGCTGTTATTTTGTAATTTGGCATTTAGCACAATTTTTTCTTCTAATTTAAGGTAAAATACCCGCAAAAAGCATTCGAGAAGCTCCTGACAGATATATAAGTTATTAAAATGATATAAAATATTTTTAAATTAATTTTTCGTTATTACATGTCGCATACAAATTTTAAAAGAAATATAGACCTTTCTATATTATGAATTTTTATTATTACAATTAATAATAAATCTACGGATGTAACAGAAATTATTGTTATAATTCATAACATTTATATTAAAACAGCAATGGAGCGGGAACGGGACCGGCGGCAAAGATGGTGCATCGGCCAAGCATTGACGTCTCGTTAACACAACCTGTACCTTGACATTGGTGGTAGGCTGCTTCGGACTGATTGTATTGATATTGAACTAGTTTCGTGGATCATTAAATTTGAGTGCAGTTATTGGATCTAAATTATAAGCCTTTTAGGTTAAGAGAAATATCTGTTCCCTTTTATAGTCATCAGAAAATGAAACTGTTCACAATATACAGGGTGATTACTGGGAAACGCATGTTTTTGACTTTCGTAGTACACAAGGAATATCGTTTGGCGACGGCCAGAAGTTGTTGCGATGTGTAGGGGGAAGTGTGCAGTTTCAATTTTTGCCATCGTATGTTTGTCATGCGACGATATTACGCAAATGGTGAATCAGTCACTCAGACTCAGCGAGACTTTCATACACGTTTTAACATTGCACGGTATGGCACTACCCCTGATCGTAACACGATATTGCGTTGGATACAAAATGTAAAACTCAATTAGATCTCTGCTTAAGAGAAAACCTCCTGGACTGTCAAGGACAGTTAGTACCCCTGAGACGGTTGAAAGAGTGCGCCTTGCAACAGCTCAGAGTCCTAGCCGCGACGGCAGAGCAGTGACAGTGAATCCACAACGGTACCTAGACATGTTGGAAGAATATTTCTTGCCAGAACTGCGCCATCATCGTGTCGAGATACGTAATGACGTATGGTTCCAACAAGAGGGGGCAACAGTCCATACAGCTCGCATTAGAATGAAATTTCTTCGGTGAACATTACCTAAAAGAGTTATCCCACGTTTTGGTGGTGTCACTTGGCCGAGCTCTCACCAGGTCTTAAAATTCCAGATTTCTTTCTTTGGGGATTTTTTAAATCTAGAGTTTACATAAACAAACCAAAAACAATACAGGAACTTAAAGAAGCTATTCGTCAGGAAATCAACGCCATTCCTAGAGATATGTTAGCAAATTCCGTAGAAAGTTTTAAGGAACGCCTTCAACGCTGTATCAAAGCAGAAGGCGACCCGTAAAATTATCAATGTTCTCTAACCACCACGTTAGAAATGTAATTTTTAAATGCTAAATTGCAATTAATTTATTCTGAA